AATAAGTTTACATGGTATCAGGTTTAATGTCCTCTTCTGGTACAGGTCCAAATAGTCTCACATCGGTTTTAGGCATAAATTTTCGAAGACAGGACTTTGCGAACTCGGCCGGTGTGGATTATGGGCGATCTTTTAGGTTTTCTTTTGTTTCATTCTTTATTGGTTTCTACCTTTGCTTTCTTCACAGGCTTACCATCATGTTTAATTCGTCTTTTCCTTGAAAGTATACCAGCAATTGTTTCTGAAATTAATCAAGTTTTTTTTATTAACTGATTCGTAATCACATATTTAGATTATCCGCTGTTAGCAATATAAATTAATACAAAAATGGTGTTTGGGATACGTTTTCCAAATGCGAAACATTTATATACCTATTATATTATTATTATTGTTGTATAATATTTTATTGTTGTACAGAAAAACAACAAGATCTTACCAATTATAGATTTGATTCTCTCCTGATCCTTCTCCTTGAGTGTAGATAAGTCACGAATATGTTCAGGAGTAATAACTACACTGACTTTTTTAAAAAAACAATGTTCATGATGCCATTTGTAGTTATTTGCACTAAACAAGTCGCACTGAAAATGAAATAATAGTTTAATACTGTTATACAGTAGTATATTAGTTCGTTGGATAGGTCATACCTAAATACCACTTACGAAGAGCAAGACATCTTGGTATTGGAACAAGTGATATGTGAAGTTATTTTTTTAATGATAACTTTGTAATTATAATTAAATCTTGTTACATAATAATTAGAACCTACAACTTATTTATTTATTTATTGATACTTTATTGCACACACAGAAAAAAATTGTAAACATTGCAATAGTAATTTGAGTACAATGGGCGGTCTTATCACACGCGGCGATTTCTTTCAGACAACCTTTATTATAACATTATATATTATTATAACTTAATTACGTAAATAGTCTTAACTACCAAAAACAATATCACTGTTGACTGATAAGTATCTGCAAACCGTTCAAATACATACCTACCTACATGGTGATATTATTATTTATATTTGGGAATGAACTGGTTTGTGAACAGTCATGGGATAGCACTATCTCAATAGAATTATTTAGGTATATTAGTCTATTGTCTCTGATCCATTGACATAAATACTTAATATAAATAATGTAGGTATACGTATATCGTACGTTTTAAGTAAACACCAACCTTATTTGCATAAATACATTAAGTATATAAAAATATAAAAATACAGAAGTGTTTAAAAAATCTAAATAATAGGAAGAAGACTTTTTCGATGAAACTTACCGTAACACGCTCAATAACAGCGATTCGCACAGTATCTTTATCAATCTCTTCGCCACATCCCTTGCACTTCATTCTTCCACTTTTAGCATATTCCGCCTTAAACTTGTGCACGTTCAAGTCAACATAATATGGATCCCTTGGAGAACCGAACATTGTAATAAAGTAATTCAAGTGGCACCTATAGGTAGGTATTCCTAAATCGGTATTATTTTTTATTTTTAGAAATAATGTAGATAACTATAGTTTAAATATTATCAACTTTTATAATAAAAAAAGATCTACTTTCGCGATATTTCCCGCAGTTTGTGAACGAACTGTAGGTACTATCCGACCCGACTACCGGCGCGGTATGAGGCGACCCGAAGACGCGGCAACGCGACGCCAACAACAACTCCCGGTCTCCTAAATCGAGCCTCTATTTTATCAAGGCCAATATGTAAATACTATACATACTTACATGGGAAAATATGAATATGGTTCAGAATAGTAAAAATAATACGTACCTAGACAGTTAAGCGAGTAGATATGTTATTATTTTTAACAGTTCGATAACAAGTTCCGCTCCCTAGTAATTAATTAAAGTCTCGCGATATACCTATTATTAAATGTATGTATTTACAAGGCATTCTAACGCGCCACTGCCTCGTTGGCCGAGTGGTCGCAAGTGCGACGCCGGGCAAGGGGTTTCGGGTTCGATTCCCGGATCGGGCAAAGTATTACTGAGGTTTTTAAAAATTGTCAGTAGTAGCACGGAGTCTGGAACTGTGCCCGGTATCCATATAGCCTATTGCCATGCAATAGGCTCACCCCCCATTACATGGGACTCGTAACATAAATAGTGAAAAGAGGGTGTTACATTGTACAGTGGCTTAATGTGCACCTCTGCCTACCCCTTCGGGGATAAAAGGCGTGATATTATGTCTAACGCACCAATATATATATACAGGGTTACAGGTTAAGTCGACCTAAATCTTTGAAGAGGTGGTAGTGGGTATCATTCTTGACCGATTTGTCTAAGGAACCCATATATTTATTAATAACGTAGATGTCGGACTATTGTCTACGGGTAGAATTTAAGGTCCATCTCGACGGTAAATTCATAAACATACTGTTGTTCTTTTTTACTTATGTCTCTGCCTAAGCAGAAAGATACAACACGTTATTGTTTGGTTCGTTGTACGCCAAAGTTTTGATGTGACCCCACATAAAAGTCCATGGGGGTCAAGTCTAGTCTCCTGGCTGGCCAAGGAGGTCTACATCTTCCTTACATATACTTATTGGGATATTTAGTGCTTAGCCATTCTCTGACACTCCTTCTAAAGCGTTCGAGGCAATCGCCGTGTTGAAACCACATGTTCTGAATGAGGTTTAATTGTGTATCGTAACTAACATCTGGCCTGGGTAACGCACACAGAAGTAGAGGTATTATAATTATTATAATCATATTATTTCAAAAAATTTACTTATTATTATTTAATTAGTCTGTTTCTGTAATTTACATTTTTTTAGGCAATTGGTGAAAATTGGGTGTTAATTTCCATAGGTAATAATTTTAGATAGGGTTTACAAGGTAAAAAAACACAATTTGCAATTGTTTTTGTATATTTTGTTTCCATCCATGGTTTAATTTTCCGCTAAACAGCGATACTGTCCAAGTGGCCATACTTTCCATTAAGTAGGTACCTACCTACTTATTAATTTGCAAAAGATAACATGATTACTGTGCCAAATAACAAAAACAAATATTACAATACAAACATTAAATTCTAAAAACACACATTTTTAACAAAATATCTTAATAGAGTTAAACTCCCAAACATTACACTAAACTGAAAACACTGAGAAATACCTTCTCTAGGAAAAGTAATTCGGTGACACTGTAGCAGTATCATTTTAATTAAAAAATAAAAAATTTATAATAAAATGGAAGACAATAAAAATATGGCACTTGAGATCCTCAAGAGATTACTGTTACATTGTGAGGATAGAGTATAATTTTGAGATTCTACGTAGTCTCGTCACAGGTTTTATGATACACTAGCGGCCCGTCCCGGCTTCGCACGGGGGGACTTAAGATTTTTTACATAGTTTTACGTTTTATTTATATTTATTCTCAGTTTTTTTTTAGCGACCTGCCCTCCGTTGTCGATGTCGCGTCTTAAGGTAACCGATTGAACAACTCAAAAGTTATCTAGAGCAAACTTTTATAAGGATTGAACCATTCATTAAAACGATTGTTATGGGTAAACTATAAAAGGTAGACATATGCTCTCGCGGACTTTTTTAAAAATAATGTTAAGATAAACAATTCATCTATAGAACATTTTTGTATAACTTTAACTATATGCTCAGCGCACGCCACGGAAGGCGTCAGAAACGATACTTTTCCCCCGTTTTTAAAACATTTTTGGTTACTGCTCCACAACTATAGGACCTAGCGTGATATTATATAGCCTATGTTACTTCTGAATAATGCAGCTTTCGAATGGTGAAAAAATTATTGCAATCGGTTCAGTAGTTTTTGAGTTTATTCATTACAAACATACAAAAATACAAATCTTTCCTCTTTATAATATTAAGTATAGATTATTTTTAAAGTTGAAACTATATTAAATATTATGTTTTTAGGCTTAGTCGCGTAACTGTTAGTCTTTAAGTCACCGCGTCGTATATCGCGGAATACTGCTCATGTATATAAGCATATTTAGTATGGCTTGAAACTTATCTAGTTCCTCGTCAAACAATTAATTGAGTAAGCCGAAAAATATAATAATTAGTTTAATACGTCTCACATCTCAGACAGCTGAAACTATGTATAAATATTCAATACAGCTGTTTTCTTTACTTTAAAATGACTACGATAAAACCGGGTGAATAGATAGTAGGAAAATGTTCATAGGTTTATTTATTCACCACTCGAATTCTATTCACCAAATTTTACCCGGTATTGAGAATTGCAGAAAGATATGTATCGAACTGCAGGTTGTAAATATGGCCTGATATTCAGTTTCAGTAATCTGTCCATTGTCCTGTGGATTTGATTACTAGAGATAGTATGTGAATCTAAAGATAAATTACTTTCTTATTTTTAGCATTGAAAATAAGTGCACTTGTATAAATGCTGAGGTTATATTGGTTCACGTACAACAAATAGATCTTAGGTAATTCTATTGTTAGTGTAAATGTATGTAAATCACAGTTTTTTCGGTGTATAGTATAGTAGTGTAAATTAATGACATGCAAACTTATTTCAATATTTAATAATATTGCTTAGCTTAGCCAAGCTAATGCTTTAATCAATCTTTTCTTACTATTAACATTTAAATGCTTTTAAAATTAGCTCTAGACAAATTGTTATACAAAAAGTCAAGTATCCTTTGGCAATATCGATTTCGACACTTGGAACAACTGCAACAATTATTGTATTTCATTTTCACCTTCTACATTGTCTTGTTACATGCCCCAAGACTGGATTTAGGTATGTACTTATATGTGCTAACGTTTATTTTTATTACGGTTCTATTATTGAACCACTTACAAAATGTTTATAAACCAAGTAAAATAAGTAGGTATTTGTGAAAATTCCGCAAAATAGGGTATTACATAAACCAAAATTATTACCTACAATAATTCCTATGAATATTTCTAAGCACTCAAAATCAAGGTAAGATTAGAAGTAGTACTAAATGCTTTTTTTAGTCAAAACATATTCTGCACTATATGTTCACGTATTTGAAATTGACCTGCAACAAGTACTTTACTTTAACTTGCGCCTCATTGTAAACAATGAATCTGTATGTATGCTAAGGAAAGTATTATTTTACTAAAAAACATAGGTTAATTTTGAAAAGTAGAAAATCAAATGCTACAATAGTTTTGGGACATCCTGTATCTATTATCTGAATAAATTTAAATTAATATCATTTTAAGAATAAGATTTTATGCAGCTTATGGTAGTTGAACATTTATGGTCATGTAAATTTAGTGTGCATTACCCAGGCTAGATTTGTCAAAAAGAGTCATTTGAATCTTATAGATAAATAGTTTTACGGCTTCTGTAATTGTTGCACATATTTTTAAATTTGTTGCGCTTATAGTTTTTTAATTATTACACAAAAATATTTTCTGCTGGGGTAACGTTACCCCAGCCAGACCATTTTCTTTTTAATGGGAATATTTAAATAATTACTAGCTATAAAATTAGTTGTCTAGGTGAAGTAAATGTTGTGCCTTATGTTGTATTTGTTCTTTGAAAAAAAAATGTCAGTAGTAGCTCGGAGTCTGGAAATGTGTCCGGTATATGGCAATAGGCTTACCCCCTATTGCATGGGACCCACAACATAAATAGTGAAAAGTGGGTGTCACTTCTATGTGCACCTCTGCCCACTCCTTCGGGGATAAAAAGCGTGATATTCTTTCATCGGTTGCGAAATTATTCGAGATTTTGCTGGGGTAACGTTTTTGGTTTTGCTAGACCTTTGATAAAATATAATAAATAAATATGATTAAGCGGATTCTTATCATATTTTGTACATGGCTTCTTAGGAATTAGTTTCAATTTGTTCTCGGTAAAAAAACCAAAATAATCTCATTAGAAAGAAAATGGTCTGGCTAGGACAACGTTACCCCAGCAGGAAATGTTTTTGTGAAATAATTTAAAAAACTTTAAGCACAACAAATTTAAAAATGTGCGCAAGAATTACAGGAGCCGCAAAACTAATTATCTTGACCATTTTCGACAAAATCTGGCCTACCAACGCATATGTAAACTAAACGTGTTTACAAAACTTCAGCTTAATCAGTTTAAGTTATCTGCTTCAAAATTTAATTGCAAAGTTCCACTTCACACACTTACACACATATACATATATTTATACATTTTAAGTTAAATAAAAGTTAGGAAAACATTATATTGTAAAGGATACTCGTTATACAAGAGCCTGCGTCTTGAACATGGCCGGTTCGGTATAGGTTTGCCAAGTGGTACGATAGTTCCGTCGTCCAAAACCCTATTTTCAGCAGGGTTTGGCATCGTGCCACCCTCTCCAAATCTAGAGTGCATACCCGGTGGCAATGGTGTCTTGTCTGAATCTTGAACTATGTGCCTGTAATAATTGATTGCGTATTATATTTTCACTACTGAAAATCCAATACCCTATGATTTTATTCAGTATCTACTGTTTGTGCAAAAAATACTAAGTCATTTATACCATTATTATGGCACGAGCTGTATATAATATAACAAAATACAACAAAATAAATACATAAAAAATACAACAATATAAATACAACAAAATGACCTCTGCTGCTTACTTGCTTTACTATAGGTACTTACATATTTCCAAGAGCAACTTCACATAGCAGCATGAATCCAACGGTATCAAAAACAGTTTTATAGCAATAGTTGGCAGACTTGGTCACCATATCCGCAAAGTACACTCCTTTACCAAACATGTAGCCCGTCGCCGGGGCTTCGGGTGGCGCTATGCGGAGACCTGCATCAGAAAATTGATAGTTTTTGACTGAAGGATTTATTATATCAATTTCTTTATGTAATATTCATAGGATTTTATGGCTATAACTTACCTTGAGAAAGGATACCAACAAAATTGGTAGTACGGGATCCATGCCAAAGTAGACGTCTGTTGTGAAGTTTTTTAAATGGTGTGAAACGGTCATCTTCTCCCTCACGAACCACTTTGAATACCTACAAAAAACAAATTTGAAATTTAAAATAAAAAATAAATTTAAATGACTTGAAAGAAAAGTCTGTTCTGACTTATGATGAGTACCTAAGTACCTATGGGTACAAGTATACAGAATAGTAATTAGGAATCGGATAAATGTGTTTGTCGCAATTTTCAGTCAGTGCGTTACTTAGCAGCAAGTAGCACCTTTTTTTTAAGTGACTTCTTCCGCCTTGGGTGAGTCGAGAGGGTGTGTCCGACTCTTACTGACTACTGGCACTACCTCGTTCCAACTCCTACTTCGAGTCGGAGTCCCGGCCGTCCGCAGTACCTAGAAAGTAGCACCTGGAGTAACGAAAAACATGTGCCTGCTGTACTTATATTACTCAAGGTGCCACTTTCTTGGTACGGCACATTCGTATATCATGTTCAACAATGACATAGGTACCTTTTGAATGTTTAAAGTGTATGTCTTCACATGAGTGTGTCCATGCGTGTTGGTCAAGTATTCGTTAATCATCGCGTACTCGGGCGAAGTATTCGGCAGCAGTGCGATGTCCACTTTCAACTTTAAATAGTTAGCCAATATAGGATTGCTTTCATTTGTTCCTGAAATACAAAATGTCTATGAGTATAAACTTAATAATTTCACAAAAATAAATATAAATTACTTACGTATTTTGAACAAGCTGTAAGCTAGTTCTATCTCAAGTAAGTTGTCTAACAGGGCCGCCTTAGAGCGGATTATCTCCATGTTGTCGAGTAACGGTGGATTGTTCGTGCCGAAGTTGTGAGGGATCAATGTGAAAAATCTACGAACAATAAGAAAATAACATAATGCCCATCAAACTTACCTATATCGACATGTTGTAAGTGTTGACCCAAGCTTTTTAAATCCTATTTTTACATCATATTTAACATTCTTGGACTAGAAATAGCGCAATATATTCAGAACTCAAATAAATAATAACAACCTGTTAGTGGCGTCTATTAATTTAACTTTTTCGGTAGATTCACTATCAATCAATGCCTGAACTTCCGACAAAATAGTGTATCCTGCGATAATTTGGGTTTTCGATAGTTGTCCCAGCGGCATCTTCACAGTGTCGAGCTAGAACCAAGAGTTTGATAATAACAAGCGAATTTAAACCTTATGTCTAGATAATCTATAATAGTTTTTTTTTTAAGGGGGAAATCATCGAATGTCTTCTCCCGCCTGGGTGAGGCGGAAGGGAGTGTCAGACTCGTACTGAATAAAACCACCCCGTTCCTACTCCTGCATTTCTAGCTGGAACCCCGGCAACCCATTAAGTCCTTCGTAGCTCCGTATCGGCATCAGCCCTATTGGGCCCCATCCGTGGTGGTCTTATGGCTCATTGAGGCGCGCACGTAAAGCGACGCGTCGTACGCTCGGGTCTGGTTCTGGTGCGTGAGCTACCCATGCTCGCCGTGACGAAAGAAGGCAAGCGCTGCCTCACGCGCTCCGCCTCCGCCTTAGCTAACATTACTGCTTTGCAAAAGAGTAGACGGTCAGCCCAGTCCTCCTGGCTCCGCATCATGGCCCGGACTAGGGCCGGAGGCGAGAAGTCGCCGCCGCCGATCACATCCCTGAGGACACGGCAGTGCTCAGCCCATGCATGGCATGCCACCACCGTGTATCCGCGCGCAGACAAAATACGCGCATGAGCACCTTCGGCTTCAGATCCCATAGCGGTAATACGGCAAGGAGGTTCGCCGCCTCTCCTGAGATCGTGTGGTCGGATCGCCGTGACCCTCTGAGACATGAGCAGCGCCCGAGCGGGCCCACGCATCAGATTTGGCGCCCACCAGAGGCGCCGTAGAGGGCCATGGACCGCACGACCACCGCATATAACCTCCGGCAGGAGGCCCCCCGAGGTTAGAAAAGAGGCGCTTAAGCGCCGGCCCCGTCCTTACCAACGTAAAAGTCGTACGTCGGAAGTGCAAATCTATATTAGTAACTATAAATATAACACATTACCTCGAATTCTGTCAACGTCTTATTCATTGTTTTGACATCAAACAGCTTGATAATAAGTTTTTGTACAGACTTGTCGAGGGCACATTTGTCGCTCACGGCCAGAATTTCATTCGAGCCAAAATCGATCGCGTTGTCCATTTCTAATGGATAGTATCGTTCCGGCACCTGCAAGTGGTTTGTAAAATTATGCTCCATACCCCAGTTTTAATCCAACCTAGTTCTGTATAGGTACCTAATAATAAACATAATTTTTAATACTCTCCATTAGCTGTTATGCTTCAGGTGGAAATATTTTTACCATATCTTATATTTCTTGTAGACTGTGGAGGTGAAAAATTAAGTGTCCATTTTATTGCCTATCTACATTTTTATTTAATTTGTTAACAATTTTAACAACTAATTACCTTTTTAAATTGCCCTCTATTGTTCCAGTCATTTTGTGTTTTTTCCCGAAAGAGCTCTTCGAACCTTTTAATAGCTCCTCCTCGAGAATTACATTTTTTGGTGTCAAAATTGCCAATGTTAGTGCCGATACGACCCCACGAAGTGAATAGCCAGTATCTAATGGACAGAATATGATTGGTAAGCAAACTAAACTTAAACTAGCATTGCACAGCACTTTTGCCCAGAACACTTTATATTTGGAGATTTTAGAAAAAAAAAGAGATTAGCTGCTCCAAACAGGATGAGAAATTATTTTAGTTGGTTTGTGTGTAGATTATCATTTATTACGTCTCATTACATTGTTTATTAATTAAATGCAAGGGTTTAAAAAACACATAAAAGAAGAGTGCATGCAACAGATGGGATAATTGTTAAAATTGGTGTGTGGTAGCGAAATAAAACAAGAAATAAATCTTACAGTTACAACAAATGTTACAGAAAGTTTGAAAAAGGTGCGAAAAAGTAACAGAGAAGCTTTGATTACATAATGTCTGGATAGAGCGTTACCATACAATAGCAACAAAAATGACTTTCCAAAATTTCTTGCATGTGTGCGAGCGTCTTGTGGTTTATACGGAGCAAAAATGATACCTCCCATAAATGTTTGGGTACATGTACCAGACCATTAAGAATTAAAACAAAAAAATTGTTACCATCTCTTTGAATTTGATTTTAAAGTTTTTTTATTGGACACTTTGTTGATATCTATGTTTTGTCATATAAGGAATTTATTTTTCGTACGAAAAGAATCATTAAATATTTAAGTTGTATATATTTATGTGGGAAAATCATCGAATGACTGCTCCCGCCTGGGTGAGGCGGAAGGGAGTGTCAGACTCTTACTGACTAAAAACCACCCCGTTCCTTCTCCTGCACGTCGAGCCGGAGCCCCGGTTACCCGTTAGGTTCTCCGCGTCTCCGAATCGGCATCGGCCCTATTGGGCCCCATCTGTGGTGGTCTGATGGCTCTTTGAGGCGCGCGCGGAACGCGACGCGCCGTACGCTCGGTAGTTATATATAGTTATTAATAGGCTTTAAATTGAATAAAGTAGATTTTTATAACTCTCTGAATAAAATGTATTCTTTTAAATATTCATATTAAGACCTTTTTCAAAATTATTTAAAAAAAAATTTGTAGTTGCACCCTTTCCATCAAAAAATATAACTACTTAAATCGATTTAATAATTTCTAACTGTCGAGAATCGAAACGAACCTTTTTCAGTCGGTTAGAATAAGTAGTACATTAAAGCAATTTCATTATTTATTGAAATAACACTAAATAATAAAATTATTAATTTTATGTATGTATTATTTTGGTTTTTTTATTACAGAACAAATTTAAACTAATTCCTAAGAAGCCATGTACAAAATATGATAAGAATCCGCTTAACCATTCTAAAGATGTAGCAAAACCAAAAACGTTACCCCAGCAAAATCTCGAATAACTTGGCATTTGGCAACCGATGAAAGAACAAATACAAAATAAGGCACAACATTTACTTCATCTATACAATTCATTTTATAGGTAGTAATTATTTAAATATTCACATTAGAAAGAAAATGGTCTGGCTGGGGTAACGTTACCCCAGCAGGAAATGTTTTTGTGAAATAATTTAAAAACTATAAGCGCAACAAATGTAAAAATGTGCGCAGCAATTACAGAAGCCGCAAAACTAATTATCTATCAGATTCAAATGACCATTTTCGACAACATCTGGCCTGGGTAACGAACACGAATCTCATAAAAAGGGAAAAATTGAAAAAAATCTTACTGGCTTGTAAATTAAAATTAAAAGAATATTTTTATTATTTATTGAACTAACACTTACCTACGATTTAATGCACTATTTATTCTAATCGCCTATAAAATTAACGTTGTTTTCGATTTTTCGACAGTTATTTTGAAATGTTTAAATCGATTTAGCTATATTTTGTTGGATGGAAAGGAAGTAACTGCAATAATATTTTTTAAATTGGTTTTATAGAGATATGTTAAAAATGTCTTTATATGAATATTTAATTATTTCTCATGGAGCATGAGTATTCTAATATTCTAAGACTGCCTCGTTGGCCGAGTGGTCACAAGTGCGACTGCCGGGCAAGGGGTCTCGGGTTCGATTCCCGGGTCGGGCAAAGTATTACTGGGTTTTTAAAAATCTCAGTAGTAGCACGGAGTCTGGAATTGTGCCCGGTATATGGCAATAGGCTCACCCCCTATTACATGGGACTCATAACATAAATAGTGAAAAGTGGGTGTTACATTGTACAGTGGCATTAAGTGCCGTAATGTGCACCTCTGCCTACCCCTTCGAGGATAAAAAGGCGTGATGTTATGTGTGTTAATTATTTCTTTATCAATCAATCATACGGAAAGTATATTACTTATATGATAAAATATAAATATCAATGAAGTGCCCAATACAAAAAAAAATCAAATTCAAAGAGAAGAGATTTTTTTATTTTACTTCAAAATGGTCTGGTACATGTACCGAAATATTTATGGCAGATATAAAGATAGGAGAATTTTCGTCGTAGCTGGTATCATTTTTGCTCGCACACAAGCAAGAAATTTTGGAACGTCATTTTTGTTGCTATTGTATGGTGACGCTCTATCTAGACATTATATAATCAAAGGCTATCACCATATCTTCTAAAATTAATAGGTTCCTACATGTCTCAAGTATTTACTCGCATCTTGGCCTCCCCTACATTAACCAAATTGGTTCAAGGCTGATTTAGCAGGTTAGGTTAACAGGAACATATAAAAAAAATGAGATTTAGACGTACTCTCTTTTATCATCGGCCTCCAACACTTGCATCTTGTAGTAAGAGTTCTTCTGTGCGACAACATCAGTTAATGACAGTACCACGGTGTATTTAATGTTGTTAGGATCCACATACACGTGAAATTTGTTAATGTTTAAACCACAAGCTGGATCTACAGATGAACCCCCTGGTGAATAAAAAATACATTGAATAATTTGAATAGTATTTTACTGTGTCGAACTGTCGAGAACCAAAAAATATACCTCTAGGTATTTTCCACAATAAATAATCTTATTATTATCAAGTTTGAAAAATGAACTAAACCAAATCATAGCTTAGTGGTTTTATAAAGAAATTTTGTACATACCTGCAATTTTTAGCATGGAGTTTGTAGAAATTTCTCCTAATACTTTAGCGGGAACTCTCGACGCTGGCTGTGAATAAAAAACATCGGTCTCTTATTTACAAACACGTACTGAATATGAAATTTAGATCTTAAATAAAACAAAATATAATATGTACTGCAGTCTTCTTCTGATTTTTTTGGTTCTGAAATCTGATTTTTATTTACTAAGCTTAGCGCTGGTGTCACCACCTTCTTATAACTACTAGATAAACTTATGTCACAGATAGTTCATACAACTTAAGTTCTTAATTCAATTTTATATGGTAGATAGCGGCTAACCAGATATTGTGAAACAGGCCCTTAGTAAACAAAAATATTAATAAAACTTTTATCGTTAACTTACGTCGGATCCCCAATCAGTGATATTATTTTCTTTGATCAGTTCCAATGACTGAGCGACAGTGCAAGAACCAGCTTTTTCAATTATATCGAAGAATGTTTCTTCAACAACCTGTAAAACATAGCAACATAAATATATTTTATACCTTTCTATGTAGAGCATCTTTAGCTTCCATTAAGCATCTGGTCATATTGTACAAAAGCCTACCTGCTTCATCAATTAAGAGTAACTTTGCATCCTGGGCTTTTTTGAAACACTTTCCAATAAGGTCAGGCCAGCCGTCAGCACAATTTATTTTCCTAAGGCTACCCCTAACATTACTCTTACCTTTTCTGATCCTACTTTCGGCATGTTTTTCAGCATGTCTAAATGTTTAAATCATCTCACCATAGGTGCCCTAAAGTTTTACAATAACTACACAAACATGTTAAGTTCTGTAATTCATTTAGGATATATACACGTTCTAGACACAGACTGCCTCTTTGGCAGAGTGGTCGCAAGTGCGACTGCCGGGCAAGGGGTTTCGGGTTCAATTCCCGGGTCGGGCTAAGTCGAGCACGGAGTCTGGAATAGTATTTGGTATATGGCAATAGGCTCAACTAATCATAGGCTAACATAGGACTCGTAACATAAAGTAGTGAAAACTGGGTGTCACATTGTAGTGTTTGTTTACATAAAGTGCCGTTATGTACGTGTGCGTTACCCAGGCCAGATGTTGTCGAAAATGGTCATTTGAATCTTATAGATAATTAGTTTTGAGGCTTCTGTAATTGTTACGCACATTTTTTAAATTTGTTGCTCTTATAGTTTTTAATTATTACACAAAAACATTTCCTGCTGGGGTAACGTTACCCCAGCAATGTACCTACACCTCTGTCTTCGGGGATAAAAGGCGTGACATTATGTGAGTAATGTAATGTAATGTTAAAGTTTTACCTGAATATCTTTTGATCGGATTTCTTTCATTTTAAATAGCATTTTTTCCACATTAGCCTTAGTAGAGATAACAGCAGCGGTACTGTCTAATAATTTAGTTATGACTACGCCACCCAACTTCAAGATCCGTTTGTGAATTTCTTCCTTATTATCAAAATCACCATAAAAGAAGAACTGTAGGTCTTTTAGTGGTGGTATGGACACCTCTTTCTTGGCCCTATAAATAAAAAAAAAGCATAAGAAGCAAAAATTAGGTGCGAAGGTCGTCATCAAAAATCTTTGATTTATGGATTGACCTACCTACTACAAAAATAATTGGCATACTTTTACAGTTAATGATTAGTAAAGCAAACTTAAAGCTATATTGAAATAAAGATTAATTATATGTTATGAACTAAATGGAAAAAAAATGTTTCTTTATTAAGTGTGGAAGACGCGTGCTTTGGCATGAATAGGCAGTGTCCACCGGAGTGATACCACAGCCTAACAGAAAACCGACGTGAGACAACGCTTCGTGTTTCATCGTGTCAGTGAGGTTACTGGAAGCCCAATTACCACCCTCCTCAATCTCCTCAATCCCTGAATCCCCAACAATCCTTAAATTCCAAATCCCCAAGTGGCCAGTAACGCAATTGGATGACGCGGATTGCTTACCATCAGGTCATCTGTCTGCACATTTATCGGTTTATTCTATGGAATGGAAAAACAGGCAAAGTTACATTGGTTCTGATATAGTAATACTACTTTATGCTACCAAAAATAAGGGTTAAATTTTCAATGATGAACTTAATGCCACATAAGTACTTCAAAAACCAATAATGGACTAAGAAACTAGATTATTGAGTCTATGACGTAAATAAAAAGCGAAGAAGGAAGCCTTACGGAGTAGCAAGGGGTGCGTCTGGTTCAGGTGCTGTTTCCAATAGTCTCACATCAGTACTAGGTGTGAAGTTCTCAAAGACTGGGTTATTCGCAAATTCGGTCGGTATGACCATTGGCGATCTCTTAGGGTTTTGGGTTACGTATGCACACTTCGTCCACTCAGTTAAGTTTCCTGTGAATGAATTAAGCAATTTGTACAATATGCATGTATGTATACAAGGTATTGTTTTATAGCCGCGTCATTTTCTAGGAGGTAACTCGGATATCGATTCTGAGTCCGAATCAATAAAAAAATTGTAGATAAATATTTTTTAAATATTTTTCTGAAATACCACTTAAACGATTTCTTATAGCCGTATTTTTAACTATTGGGTCGAAAATTTCTCTTACATTGAACCTTTATGTGACATGCCCCCGAGAAATGACACGGCTTCACAACTACACCTTGTATAGATACCTAGGTAACCATATTGTACTTATTTAAATACTGTACCAGTGCATTTATATTTGTTAGTGAGTAGCACTAGTTGTCCTTGCTTGCACTCCTCGCAGGGCTCCAGTTTCCCGAACGCCATGCATTCAGCAAGGCTGTCCAAACGCTGCAATCAGGAATTTATTGTACAACTATTAACTAGATACCTACCTACTATACTTTCTGTAAGTGTCAAAACAGGCCACTGATAAAACATTATTGTACTAGTTAACTAGTTTCTGCCAGCGGCTTCGCCCGCGATCCCAGGGGTAAAATGCCTATGTATCACTTCAGACCATAATCTACCTCTGTTCCGAATTTCATTCCGGTCCCTTCAGTGGTGTTAATATGACTGAGTAACAAACATACACATAAACTCACATATTTTCATTTTTAATATCGAGTCAAGCTAATTTCAATCATTGGCCTTTCAGTTACAGCGTAAAGTCTATGAATCAGTATTGTAAACGTTAGAGTAGACAAATACAATCAGAAATCACCGAATTGCTAAGCTATCGGGAGTTTCACGTGTTATTGTGAGTCAACCATAAAAGATAGACATATGCTGTCGAGGAATATTTTTTATATAATTTTAAGGAGAATATTTCCGTCATACATGATTTCTATGCAGCTTTAACCTATAAGCCTGCACACGCGACGGAAGCTTAAAAAATGGAGTAACTTCTCCCGTTTTCCCAATATTTCCCTTCACTGCTCTGCTCCTATTGATTGTAGCGTAATGAAAAGTATACTATAACCTGCCCAAGAGTATGAAGAATAATTGTGCCAAATTTCGTTAAAATCCATCGAGTAGTTTTTGTTTCCATAACGAACATACAGACAGACAGACAAAAATTTTACTGATTGCATTTTTGGCATCAGTAGCGATCCCTAACCACCCCTTGATAGTTATTTTTTAAATATATTTTATGTACAGAATTGACCTCTCTACAGATTTATTATAAGTATAGATTAAAGACAGATACAAAGTTTTACACTTTTACAGAGTACTTTTAATTAACCTCATTAGGGCCAGCATTGTGACGTAACTTCTGTGAGTTCGCCTCTAATAGCTTTTCCATTTCTTTTTTAGAAAGCACACTTAGTGCTTTTCTATATTTATGGAATAGATCATTTTGTTCCATCATTTTCTTCTTGTCTTCCTCGCTTGTTTCTGTTTTTAATTTCTTTATGGGAATTTCATCATCACTCAATGGTCTGCAAAGATATTTAGAAGACTTATATATAGTAATTAGATATTGTCGTGCAGTTTCACCCTCTCTTCTCGGCTCCTATTGATCGGTTTTTTTCGATAAATGGACTATCTAACACAAAAAGAATTATTCCATTCGAATCATTCCAATAGCTCCAGTGATTAGAGCGTTTAAACAAACAAACTCTTCAGTTTTATATATTAGTATAGTAATATAAAATGTTATCTATTGTTATAATTACTTTATCTCTGCCATCACCATCTCCTTGGCCTTCTTCGGCAAAGTCTTAAATCCAGGTATACTGTCCCCGCCAGCGTAGAAATGTAGTTTACTCCTTAGTTCCACAAAGCACTTGATGTGGTATGATAAAGGAACCTTTTTTTTTAGCAACTTATTTTGAACATTTTTTGAAACACGAATTTCATCCTGAAGCATGAAAATATAATATCTATTATTTATTTTGTGGTTCTCTAACAGTTAACCCAGTGGACTAAAAAAAAATAATAGGCATAGGATACTTGACATGTTTGTATGTTTGCAATAATAGATCTGTTAATAAATACCTTGCATATTTTAATGCTACAATGAGTACATGATATCTTGTTACTTTTACAGCACTGTATAAAGTAGTCTTTTAGTGCTTGTGCGTTAGACACAGCTTGAGGGTCCGTAGGTCTTTTCCCAGGATTGCTAGGCTTTGTGACCGACACCACCATACCAATTGGTTTTTCTGAAACCAATGAAAATATTAAATTAATTTCCAATAAGGCGATTACATAGATTTTCAAAGGATTGAATTAAGTATAGACAGAATTCTACTCTCCTTTTTAATATTACTTTATTACTGAATGAACAAATAAGTGATTTCTTACCAATTTGAGATTTGATTCTCGTCTGATCATCACTCTTAAGATTATAAAAGTTGCCAATCTCAGCAGTGGAAGTAGGCTGGTTTGATTTAAAGAAACACTTTTCATGATGCCACCTAGATTCCTTGCCATCAAAGCGAAACGACTGAAAAGAACACAAATTGCAAGTCTACATTCTTAACAAATAAAAAAAATATAGACCTTAAAATGGGTTGAATGGGCTTTAAATGGGATTTTTAGATAATACATTGGTTTGCAGACTACTTACTCTGCAAAGAATATAGTGACTTTAAATGTGTCGGAAATTATTTAGAAGCTCTAAATCTGATAAAAGTTGCACGAATCTGCCAGCCTGCAATTCAATCTCTTGATAGTTAGTCAAAAGATCACTTTGATAAACGACTCTGTTCCATCGAAATAAAAGCTATTTTACCGCGTTTCGTACGCTTCAAGCAAACACCAACCTTAGTGCATTGCAATAAGCATCACTCACTGCACTGCATGCAACAAGTTCTACCTGTCATTGTAAAATGTAAATAAACAATGTAGAAATTGCATCAAAGTTTTGTCGATGGTATTGGTAGGTACTACTACTAACCTGCACCAAAACAGCTATTCGTACAGCACCTTCATCAATTTTGTTAAAACATGCTTTGCATGTCGATTTTCCACTTTTAGCATATTCCACTTTGTAAGACAAATCTCGATCTGTCATTGTTTTATTAGAGTTAAAAACTTACTTATTCTTACTCTTTATAACTTTGAAAAAATTTTAATGTAGAAATAATTAATAATAGTCCTACTTATTTCCGTTAGTTTCAGCTGGATTAATAAACTGTAAATACCGGTCAATATGGCGACACAAGCATCAAACATCAACTAGCATACTACCTATCAATAATCTCCCAATTCGGGCCTCTTTCCTGACAAGGCCACAAATTCATATGGGATTAGGTATAATGTAAAGTTGTATTCTACATACGTATGGAAGTAGGTATGCCTATGCCGACATCATAGCAAGTCCAATAGCAATAATAATAATTCCTTGTAAAGTACGCCTGTGAAAATATTCGCTATCGAGATTCACAATGATCTCGTGATCCCCGACCACTACCATACTATCATAGATGAGTATAAGTACTATCTTACTAGTAATATAAGTATTATTATTATAATATACAAACTCACAAACTAAGAAAGTTTGTGTGTTTGTTTGTGCATAAGCATGTATGTTTGTTACTCAATTACGTCAAAACGGCATGGGACCAGGATGCAATTTGGAACACGGGTAGATTATGGTCTGAAATAATATACAGGCTACTTTTTATCCGGCGAGAATGCGGACGAAGCTGCTGTCATAAGCTAGTATGATAATAAAGACGCAGTAGATACGCATTATGTCGAATTTTTATTCTAACGCGCCAATATTCAAATTTTTGTAACATCACGCTTGGTTATGGTCTATTGACATAAGCAGTAGTACTTAGTGTTAGTTTTCCAATTTCTAAAGTACATTCTTAACACATCTCTATGTATCGTTTGAATGGGGCGTAAATGAGACTTTGTTTACTTTGACTGTGTTTTGTCTGAGGGCTTAGTTTTTTTTTTATATTTGTGGGTCGACGTTTCTCGACGACCTGTTCGACCACTATCTCGCCAGCTGGTAAGGGATGATACGGTCAATAATGGAACACGTCATCCCGCAACCTATTCACTCGGGCTTTGAAAACACCCAGGTTATAGCCTTCAGGAAATACAGACACTGGCAAAGAATTCCACTTCTTAGCAGCACGCACAAGAAAGTTTGATGCGAAGTGCATGTCGAAAGTGCGCTTTGTTATCTGGGTCTAAGATAAGAGGGCGCGGCCAAGATGCACATTAATTCTCGACTAAAAAGTCGACTTTTATAAAACTATAATAATCTGTGACAATAGTAAACCATAAAGTATAGAATGTTAATGGCTGCCATTCAAATGTCAAATTTTCAATGTCACGTCAGTTGTCATTGTCAGTACTACGTGATGGATTAAATTTTAAAATAAATACAGTTTTGTGATCGTCTATTCAGTGTTCTCTTGTTTATATAAACATTTACAGTCGTACAAATTATTCAAGAAATATTTAAAGCACTTATAATTATCTAACTTAAGTAAGAGTAACTGGAAAAAATGGAATCAGATATTATCAACTGGAGTAACAAAGAAGTTTTAGATTTATTACATAAAGAAAAAATATCTAGTATAATTACAGAAATCTGTAAATCACAAGATATTGATGGACAGTGTCTTTTATCTTTTATGGATCGAGATTTTTATGACTTTCCTTTTGACCATTTAAAATTTGGTGAACGCAAGAGATTCATATTACTCGTAAAGAAATTACAAAAACAAAATCGTAATGCGATGTTCGAACTCGGTCTTTGTGAAGATGCTCTCAGTAATCCATCTACAAACATCAATTTTCTTGGAACTAACTTATCCCATTTGAGTTACAATCTTCACAACAAACTACCAAGTGAGATATATGTGAGAAATAATTCAGAGTGTGTGTCAAGTTTTACACCAGATGTGAAAGCTTCAAGATTGAAACCTGAAATTTGGAAGACAGCAATAGCTTTAGGTAATTATGTTACTGTCTTATTAGAATAATCTATTAAAAACTATTACTGATTGTTCTCTTACATGATTTGGATTGGGATTCAGTCCAAAGAATCTGGATGAGTGTAATAAACATGTGCATAAAACAATGTATCATAAGCTCACATAGTTGCAAAACATGTGTACACTTCACAAAAAACAAGAATAAATATAGGCTTTATAAAAATATGCTTAATATTTTGCAACTTTTTTTGTATAGTTGCCAAATCATAGAGTTAATAAAAGAGCCTCAAAGAGGTTGTTGTGAAAAAGGTTGATTTTTATTTTGGCCAGGTTATGTCTTCCTGGTGACATGGGTGACTGCGGTGGTGATGGTGATTGTACATGACAAGGTGCCAGATATGAAGAAGTATCCTCCACTGCCAGACCTGTTCCTGGACAATGTGCCACATATCCCATGGGCCTTTGACATGTGTGAGATCACTGGCTCCTTCCTCATGGCCATATGGCTTGTTGTCCTATTCTTCCATAAGCATAGGTATGTATTCTATAATATAAATGGTGTTTGTTGTATACAATTAACATTAATGAGTGTAAATAACAAACTATTTGTTTACATGTCATTTACAATAACAGTTATTACTATTTGCTATGGAGCAAAGATTTCTGAATCAATATTTAGAAATTAAAACCATTTTATATTTGTATGATTATAATGTTACCATCCTAAATATTTATTTATTTAATCATTTATGTACACACAAACAGCACAGAGCTATAATACATATATATTTAAGAAATTCCAACAGGAATAAGTAGTTATTCCTGTTGGTATTTCTTCCAGTAGGCCTGAGACAGGAAATGTAATTAAAACATAAGACACAGTGTGTAACAGAAAAAAAAATATAAGAAATATCTATAAAACTAAATTTAAAAAAATAATAGTTATATTATATATAAAAATAAAAACTTAATACATAATAATAACAATAAATAAAATACATATATCGAAACATATCTGTACTCATGAAGAAAGGTAATGGTCATTAATTAGTTTTTTTTAAATAGAGCAATAGATTTAGCGACATGAATGTTAGGCGGCAGAGAAATTACAGGTGAAGGAATAGGAGAAGTCTGTATTATGATGCATAATTTTAATTCTTTTGATCTCTGAACTATCTTAAGCTTATTTCGTCCATTCTTCACATTTAAATCTGTTTTATAAACTTATTGATATACACATGCATTTATTTTAAATGCAGACAACTTTCCTTGTACAATTTTTAATTTATTTTCATCATAAGTCAAATCAAATCATTTATTGAAATTAAACCAGAAAGGCACTTTTGATCGTCAACAAAAAATTTTGTAAGAAAGTTTTTTTGTGAGCAAATGCTCATTCCAAGGTGTAGATTCCTATGGAGGAGAAGAATGAGCAAGTAACTCCATTGGTTACTCTTATTCAATCAGCTTCACTATACAATTCTCTAGTTACATAGTATTGAATGGTATGGTTGGCTAAAAACTTATTTAAAATTAAATTTACCAAAATAAAAACAATAGTTTTACTAATTAAAATATGTTTATTTACCAACTTAGACAATTAACTTAAGTAAATATGCAAATAAAATTAACAAACAAATTGTGCAACTTATTATGTGTAAATTAAGGTTTGTTTAGATTTAGTTCAATCATTTTTAAATCCTTTGGGACTAAATTTTTGATCATAATGCTTTTTCAAATGCAGTTTATTTCAACTACTCTACAAAACAACGCAGGAAATGGAATCTACACATTCTCTTTGTGACAGTACAAAGAACAAATAGCTGCATCATTTGTACATAAATACTTGTGTTGTAACTAGCAAGCAATGTTTTGTCAACAGGTGTTGTGTGGCAATAGTGACCAGACTGACCAGACATACTAAGTTCAAATTAAAGATGCAATGAACATCACTTGTTATGAAACAAATGGTCACAAGCCACAATTACTTTTCCAAATAACTATACATTCATTGTCATTGATTAATCACAAAGCAATTTGTAATTACAAAATTGTCACTCAGACTTGCAGTTTCACCTTATACATAATTTAATAAATACAATACAAATGTTACAAATCTAAGTGACTCTAGAATGAAAGTTGATTACATAAGTTGATAATGTCGCCATTGCGCATGTGAGCATGATCATATGTACTACATACCATAATACTATGGAGCTGTTATTTTCGCTGCCTTTATTGCGTATCTACTATTTTATGGCTCCCGACTTACAATGAAATCGTATTTTGTTACCCGACTGCCAAAGAAGGAGGGTAATGTTTTTTTGCAAAATATTTACATGTTCTTATATCATAATAAACTCTAATAAGACAAGAATGTCTGTGCTACTGGATATTGTAAAATGAGCAGGATGAAAATTTATGGCTCTGCATGAGTGTAAGCAGTCGGTTTTACTTTTAGTCTAAGCACACTATTTGTTACGTAGCCAAATAATGATTTAATTTAATAATATAATTTATTAAAAAAAAACGTTGCCCCTCACTAGGATTTTCTCCTGTGTCGTGGGTGCGTTTACAAACATACAAGTTCACATACACATGACACCCAGACTCGAAACAACAATTTGGGGATCACACAAAGTGTTGTTCCGTGCGGGAATTGAACATGCGACACTTTGCGCGTCAGCCGGTTGCCCAGCCACCGGACCAACTGTGCCGTCTGAGTATAATTGCGACTCTGCTGCTGGTTCGCCTACCACATACTGGCAGTTAATGCCCAGGCCTGGCTCATCCCTAACCAATCCTCTAAGAGTTCGTCGTAATCATGACCTATCTTACTGGCCTATTCCAGTTTTTTATGACGAAAACTACACCTCATAATTGTGTGAATATTTACCTATTACACATACTCATACATGACACAAAGAAAAACAGGTTTTTTACGAACTTATTTATTTATCTTTATCTGTTATATATCTAAACAGTTATTTGTGCAATCTCGTCCAAGAAATAATTTATTATATTTTATGGCAGTCTGACTTAGCAACTGCGCCACACAATTGTTCAACCTGTTTAGATAATAGCTGTAATAAAATATATTTCCCTAATCATATGCAGAATAATCTCGATAACATCAATTATGCATTTCATTATCTTCGCAGCTTTGTTCTACTTCTTGTAAGTAGTATTCCCAGTGATCTGCCTCTGCCCTCATTCTAGCTTGAATTGGACACAGGTAGCTTGAGGACATGATGACTGATATTCTTTTATTGCATCACTCAGGGATTTACAGACTAATAAAATATGGAAATGATTTTATTAATGGTCTGGTCAACTACATTTGACGCTTCAGAAAGCAACAAAAATGTCTCCAAAATACGGTAATACATGCATAATGCATATTAAACCGTTGCATACACAACCGTTGTGCGTCTAAAGTCTACGTTGTTGACTCATGTGTAATTGATCGTCCAATTTCCGTTATGATTCACAAAATATACCATGTCGTTATACAAAGACCTTTGTGTGAGTGTCGCCATCGCCACTAACAAAACGACAAATACAAAGAAAGATCGTTTGCTTTGAACTTATACGCACTGCGTGTATATTTGTATAAAGGGACAATGTACGTAGATAGCTATATTATTTACACAAGCAGAAGCGCGTTTTAATGTGATATTAATGTTATTTCTTATTAACATTTTCCGAGCACGTGTCTATTCTATGTATGTGGGGCGCGTTTATTTCCGATGCACTTTCAAATACTCCGCCAGTACATACAGCTTTACGTTTGAGGTCACTCATAATGAGCCATTAGTCTGCTGCCTACGATATACAGCATAATATTGTGATTTCACTTAACTTGCCTTGATGCAGAGTTAACCGTTGGGTACTTATCAATAAAAGTAACGATAACGTAACCTACGCAGTTATTATTGACCGGGTGCCATCGTGGCCAAATAATGTTTGATTTGAAGATGACGTAACAAGAAATTTGTTGTTATCAAGAGAGCAATAAAGTTGATCGTATTTGTATGTAGGTTGATAGGTTCGTAGTGTAACCGCTAACCGCACGCCGTTTTTATTGTATGTACGTCGGTACTTAATATAAAAAGGGAGCGTGCATCACGTCCATTAGTCATATTTAGCTGTCTACTAGGTAAATGAGGATTCCACACGACATAGAATAATAAGGAGTAACTCGAGCCCACAAATATACACTGTAAAATCTGGTTATGTGCGTAAATTCTCATTTTACCGCTACGACCGGAATTTCGGTAGCGACGATTTTCCGTAAAGTAATTTAGTATCTGAACTGATCAAACAGTTATAATTATAATTATTTAGGTACTCATGCCAATTTACGTATACGGTTGACGCGATGACTGGGCAACCACCGCACAACATGTAGCGAGTTCGATTCCCGACATTCGCGTACACCGTACATAAACGCATCCACGATACAGGAGGAAATCGTGGTATTGGGCAGTTTAATAAAATTATTACTTTAAACATAATTTTGTCTTCTTGCTTTAATTAAACAGCTCGTCTAGTGTTGTTGTGAAGAGAGCATGTCATCACCATAATAGTTATGACTTATGATGTAACAATATGATGCCCTTGGTTAGCCTGTCAAACCCTGCCCTTGATTTGCCTGATAAAACTGGCACAAACTTCAGAATTATCTAGACCTGCATTACATATTTCTATTACCTCACTTTGTTTTATGAAAAGTAATGAAATAGCATTATATAATCTAAAATGGTCTATTTATTTATTTATTAACTCTTTAATGCACACAATATAAGGTACCTACATAAGGCGGACTTTAATGCCATATGGCATTGATTCCATTCCTCTTAATATTTTGAATCATTATTCATTCCCGGAAACTATGCCAGATGTAGTATAATAATGATGTGTTAGACCCAACAATATCAATATTAAGCAAATCGCGCAATGTTCATTTTAGATTCCATGACCCTAGGTTCAACTCAACAATGACGACCCACGGCGATGATAATAACATAACATCACGCTTTTCATCCCCGAAGGGGTAGGCAAAGGTGCACAATACGGCACTTAATGCCACTGTACAATGTATGACACCCCCTTTTCACTATTTATGTCATGAGTCCCATGAAATAGGGGGTGAATCTATTGCCATATACCGGGCACATTTCCAGAGTTCAAGACTTCGTGCTACTGGTATAAATTATATCTTTGGTATGTTTGTACAGATTTATAATACTGCGAAGATTCTTCGCGCTGGCAGGCACCGTGTTCCTGCTGCGGTGCTTTACAATGCTGATCACATCGCTGTCAGTGCCGGGCTCCCACCTGAAGTGCGAGCCGCGCTCGTACCCGCCGGCAGACGACCTCACCGTGTGGGGCCGCCGCCTGCGCCAGGCTTACGACATCTGGAGCGGAGCTGGCATGTCCGTGCGAGGAGTGCGCACCTGTGGGGACTACATGTTCTCTGGACACACCGTCGCGCTTACACTCCTCAACTTTTTTATTACGGAATGTGAGTAGCCTTTGTTCAAAGTTGACGTACTTCACTTGATGACCAAGACCTCGTGAGTAACGACCTTGGTATGCATTGAATTTATTTTTGGGCAAAAAGTTACAGCGACAGGCTCCGATAGTTAAAACTAAATATATTCTCCATCTATAAAGGAGGTTTTTTATATCTTTGGAGTGATTGTGTAGGGGGTAAGAATGTGATACTGATCCAGGTAGGTGTTAAAATTGAAAAAGTGCAGGCAGGTAAATTAACAGTTCGTTACGACATAGGAAGTAATGGAGCGGTCTATTCCTAGCGTGGTGCGGTGCTACACAGTGCGACACGTGAATGAATTTGTTCTATTTCTATCATTCGTAGAGAAACCTTCATGGACAGTGATAGAAATAGTTTGTCTTCTTAGTTTTGACTGGCTGACATTGATGGTGCGTTGTCGCGGCCGCGAAGCGGTGTAAACAAATCGTCTATTTATAACGACACTTTATTAAACATACCAGTATAGCGAGTCCTTTTACATAGTGACGGTTCTATTAACCCAATTGTGTAAAATGTGTATTATATTCGAAAATAAAGATATCGTATCAGCTGCCAACACCCTTTAATCTTTACATAATACAGATAACCTAATCTTCTGTGGGCAATAAATATGTGGATGACGTATTAAGGAAGTTATGAAAATATTAATGACGCATTTATTTTCTCGTTCACATTTCTTATCTATTTGCCTCAAGTTGCTAATATTGTTGACTCTTGTTTTTCTAATTTCTACGCCACGATGGCAAACAAGTCGTTAGCTACGACGTAGATTGACTTCTATCTCGAAAACAAACGAGGAAGAGCTCTCGATATCATTTTGTTTTCAATATATTATGCGATATTTAAATGCCTATGTGAGTGACTAACGCGGTTATCCTTGAATTTTAGCAACTATGCTTAATTTGAAACGTAAATGCTACGTTATAAACATTGACACTGATAAAATAAAATATTTAATTAAATAGGTAATCGGATTTATTGACATTTGCATTTTTTTAATAAATCGAAAGTAGAAATTAATGTAGTTACTGTTTCACGAGAAATTGTGAACATTTAAAATGTTCCACCTGGCCGTAGGTAATGAGACAATGGCCTGCATACCTACTGTAACACAATGGTAAATAAAAATATCAACAGCAAGGAAGAATTCTATGAAGGTATCGAGATACGGATTTCGATAAATATTAGGTACAGCAGTCTGGTGTGATACTTGTACCGTAATGAGATGAGAGTAACCAATAATTCAACAATACTCTTGAAGCAAAACAATCTCATTCAACTATTGTAATTATAAAATAATAACACAGTAACTAGTTATTACTGATTATTTCTTTGTTTTGATATGTTATGAACACATTGAAACATAATGAGATAATCAGTTCGTTAATCCATTTACTCTTTTCTTATTAGATGGTCCTTAGTAATATAATTTGAATTCTGATGGCAGTACTTACTATATAGCAGTAAAAATATGAAGATTTTGGTATCTAATTACAAAAATGAGGCAAATTTTGGCAAAAGCACCCCAATCGCACTGCGCGTTGTCCATTGTCCATTATGCCAAATAGTTACTTAAATGTTAGTGTTGCATTGTGCCCAAGTTGGCAAAGGCATGAAATAAAGCGCTTTGGTTAATATTCCCGCTGTAGAATAGTACTTATTTTTAATGTTCAATGATAAGTTGTTTGAGCTAAATGTCAAAGTTCAAATAAAGATTGCAAATAATGTCCAACGTTCTGAAAGTTTTAGAAATAATTTGGAAATGACAAAAAAAATTTTAACTGCGTACTGTTACTACTACTACTAAATGGTAAAAATGACCTCTATATCATACAGGAACGAGATAATAAATTGTCATCGTTGTCCATCATTGTTGTCGAGAGCAGTAGAAGAAAGCCCTTCAACCGATTACTAGCGGTCAACGAACGGCCGTGTCTAGAGAACATTCCCTGATAAGATCATGATAAAAGGACAAATACTTATATATTTTGTTTTCAACCAAAGTTAAGCTGAACCTTAATCCAATGAGATTTACAAACAAAGACGTAAAACGAAAAAAGTGAAAATATTTATACGATTACACATACAAAAAATGGTATCCATTATAATAATTTCCAAGAAATTTGAATTTATAAGTTGATTACCTGGGTATCTTATACTTATAGCACATTATCGCATTGTTAGTAAATCCACCGAGGCTCAATAGATATGACGTCAGCTTTTGTTTTATCGGACAATAATATTATTGTAAATGCACTTTGAAACTTCACCCAATTCCTTTGTTTTACAATAATAAGTAAGAAGCTAATAATATAACTTATTGATCGAATAGTAGCCGGCCTATAATTATTGTGTAGCGTTTGTGGCATATGTACTCGATTTTATTTTTGTTCTACTAATGGAAGAAGATATTTCTCACGATACATATATATATATGTCGCACGATAACAGAAAACTTAAAACGTCAATTAGATCATAAATGCATAGGAAATTGAAATACAAAACACACCCGTATACCTACTCATTAACATTTCGGACTTTAACCGCTCGAGAGTCCTTATCAGCACCCGGTGGATCATATTAAAAAATGCTCCAAATGTCACATGTGCACCCGTTGGATCATAAGGAACGCGGACGCTCGACGGGTTAAACGAAAATAAAAATAATTCAAACCAAAATAACATAAAACATTTAACAAGAGACACAATAGAGTTTCTTGCTCATTTTAACCTGTAACTTAGCAAGTGATAAAATAACCGACAGCAGACACAGCTTAATTACGGCTTGTATTTGACTCCCAAATGTGGTTGACTTTGAACTTAAGGAAAAGACTAAAGGTAGGCTCAGGTAGTCAGGTTCTTATGATTAAAGAGCACAAAAATCTGCAATACGATGTTTTCAAGATTGCAATAAAGTTTTATTTTGTTTTGGTGTCGGCGAATGTGTCGTGCTCATATCGTACGGTTCAACAACCCGAAGCCGGGTTGATCGTGGGGTCAGAAGCACGGTTCTCATTCGTGAGGAGTTAATTACATCTTCAAATATGTCATGAGTGTTGCATTGCCAAATAAAATGTGCGTTGCTGTACTTCGTCTCTTCACTTTGTTCTATGTAAAAGTACTTTTCGTCAGTTACTCATGTAACTGACGAAAAGTACATTTAACCTGGATCAAAAATCATATGCCATTTATGAAAATGGCATATGATTAGGCATATGATGAGGTTAATGAGACATTTCATTGGAGATGGTTCAATGATAGTCAATATTTGTGTTGTTAGTGTAAAACTTCGAGAGTGTGTAAGAAACCACTGTAGAAACTTTGTTTAAACACAACATACGTAAGGAGCAAAGCCTTGCTGTAAGTTAATCGGATGAATAGTATAATTAATATATCAGCAACATAAATACTTGCCATATCAACAAAGGTGTCAAATATATGAAAGAAAACTAGGTTTTATATAACTCAAGATTGACGTCAATATGTATTTGAATATAACATTAAAAGAATGCAATTTAGCAATGTCATATACTTTGTAAAATAGGTGTGTAACTGTACACCATGAGGAACAAAACATGCAAAACAATTGGTTAATTTAAGTACCTACATCTTTAGTATGGATATAAAAATAAAATATAATATGTACTCATTATGTTATATGCTATGTCTTCCAGATACATCTCGCAACCTTTACCTGCTGCACATCCTGACGTGGGTGATGAACATGTTCGGGATCTTCTTCATCCTGGCGGCGCACGAGCACTACTCCATCGACGTGTTCATCGCGTTCTACATCACGTCGCGACTCTTCCTCTACTACCACACGCTCTCCAACAACCAGGCGCTCATGCAGAACGACTCCTCGAGGTAAATGTTCATTGTAGTTTGTGATTATAGCTCTGTTCTAACGTTTATTCCCAAGAATGATTTCGATGGCGTGGTATTATGTTGTGAAAGTCTTGCCGGATTCCATAGGTACTACACGTCATGCCATTTCGGATGAAACGAACGATTTTACCGTTTTAGTTCATTCATAAACAAGAACGGAGAAAACAGTATTTATGTGGTCAGACTACAGATTTGGTCATAATACTCAAAATATGTTATATATTCGTTGCGCTATAAAACTGTTAAGGGAATAGAAGTGATACTTTTCCAGCTGAAATGTGCATTAAAATAACACACCATCAAATAATTTACAAATCCTTGGCTTATCATTAATGTGTTATTAGTATGTATTCCAGGACCAGGATCTGGTTCCCTCTGCTGTCGTTCTTTGAGTCGGAGGTGGACGGGATCGTGCCGAACGAGTACGAGGGCCCCGTCACCATCATAAGCAACCTGCGGCAGTGGTGCGTGCAGCTCATCACAGACGTGAAGGAGTCCTCCGTCGCCAAGATCGCCGGCACCAAGCTGCAGGAGGGCGCCGCCATGGGAGAGTACTCCGTTGTCAAACTTGTCGACGGCATCAAGCGCAACCTCAGCATGGTCGAAGAGTACAAGACCTCACGCCAAAGACTAGTTACCTTAGACAAAAATATCCAAGCCTGTCTCTTAGACGATCGTCCCGACGTAGAACTACGTCACAGAAATATAGCCGACTTCCCCGGAGACGCTCTCCTCAAGGATTTTAGTAATCCTCCCTCTCCCGTTATGAAAAAAAGTATATGAACGAACTGTAAGTTTTTGTTATAGAGGCTGTTTATAGTTATACCTTCATTGTAGCTTCAATGACGCAATGAAACAATTAGATACCTGAATGTTTACATTTCCATTATAGATTTTATATCATGTTATTCCATATTTATTTTACTATGATAAGTTAAACGTAGTATAAATTATTAAGAAAATTTATTTGCTCAAAGTACTAATCTTGAATAAATAACATTTTCGCTTGTACTCGTATTTGTTTTATTTTTCTATTTGTTTGTCTTTGTACAGGCGAAGTGGTGATCTCACGCTTATTGTATTATATTTCGACAAGATGATACTTTGAGCATCATTACGAAGGTATTACCATTAGGTGATTGTGAAATTACTGCTGCTGATCACTGTCAGCTAAAAGTGATTGCCGCCACACGCAATCTTTGTGCAAACTCAAGAGCATCCATAATGTATATTATTGTAAGAAAAAGAAAACAAAATGCTTGAGTGCTACTTAACAGATGAATTGGCATCTAAATTATTTTTATCGTTTACAATGTTGCATAATATGCATTCATAATATTGACTTACTAACGGTTATTTATTGTTTTTGTATCAAACGACAGATTAAACAAATTGCACACATCAGAACACAAGCTGGGTATTTTATTTGTAAAGTAAAAGTAGTAGTAATTTTTAATCTAAAGATTTTTAAGGATTGCATGTCCTTAGAGAATGTCAATTAATTTTATTTGGATAGCAAACTACAATGATACTGAATGCTCCAAGTAGTCAACTTAAATAATTTTATTATAACATTATCAAGCACAATAATTGTCTACGATTTTTTACGAAATCGGACTTGACGACAACAAGGACTCCTAAGATACTACGCTCCATAGCTCGCTGGCTTGTGTCAAAGACCGTGTTTAAGCACTATAGGATGAGGATGCACAAAATGCATACGTCCATACAAGAGTTTCTTTAAATGAACCAAGTAAAAAACAAAGTTGTGATTATTTTAATACCATCAGTACCTACCTACTTTATATTATTATTGGATATTGGAGGCAAGTATGACAATTTACACATAGGACCCACTTAGTTTATAGTCAAAGCGCCGTGGTGTTTAGCGAAATAACGACTGAAGTTCTCCCAGTTGTATAGTCTCTTTTTGTGCCTTTAGGCTTAATTCCATCTGTCTCCTGCAGTAATTCACTAAGACAGTTATTCATGTCCCTGAGACGCACCGAACTTCAGTGTTCCGTTGTTTTCATGTGCGTAGCCAGCCAGGGGCTCAGGGTGGGAAAAGTCTAAAAAATATGTAACCCGGAAACTATATACGCGCTGTTTTACACTGGCAAAACGTAAACACAGTTAAGTCTATCTATACTACCTACATGAATACGATCAATAAATACATGGACGAGATAAGTATTAGCTTCGTAGAAGCAGTCTAAACAGTTGGATCGAAATTTTCAGATCTGGATGAACCATCGCGCCCTCAAAACACTACAATGCAACGTGCGATGGCGTTCCAAAATTCTGATATGAAAATCTCTGTGAAATGACATCCAAGTTATTGTTAACTTAATAAGAATAGTTTTAAAGAGGCGATACCAAGGCTCCAAAGTGTTTAAAGAACTCAAAGACAACATGGTGATAATGAAACCACTTCAAAGTTTCTGGAATCAGATAAAATACTGGACTGTTAGTCCTTCAGACTCTCTTTGACTTCGTCTTAATCGAAGGAGTAACGTAGGCAAGGAACAAAATACATAAATGTGTGCTCTTCTTCAAGAAAGGTGACAACATCAAAGGCCTCTGATTTGATCGAAACTTAGAGCTTTGGCGACGTAGCCAAAGCATCGTCATGCGAGTTAGGTACCATTACCATAGGCATATATTTCAATATTAACTGCTAGGATATATGTATCCGCCGTATATATGTAGACGCCATGGCCTTAATAAGGCAGAACTCTAAGACTCAGCGGTACTACTATTGATACATCGATACAATCATTGTACATCGATCGAGGCGTTGGAGCATAAAAACACCACCATATTGAACTTGAAGGACATTCCTCTGCAAAAAATCATAAAGTAAGGAGATGCACGTCATATCCCCAAAGCTGTTTACCGTCGCATTGGAATACGCCTTTAAGCTCGAAGAACGGAAAGGATCTGGCCTTTTAGTTTACGACATTGTTGTCATGATGTCCTGTCGAGCTTCCCAACAAATAGAGTTCAGAGTGCCAAGCACGAATAACTGTCGCATGCATAACGTGATAGTATCGAGCGCGTTCGGTGCTCTGATTGATTGGTTAAAGCCGGCCTGGCACTGTGTACCCTATTTGTTGGGAAGCTCGACAAGACATCATGACAACAATGGTGTATCTAATCTACTGTAGATTCTCGTCTACAGGGGTTGCAGCGCTTTTGAGAGGTTGTGGCGGGTTTGTCCAATTAAAAAAAAAACTATACATTACTGATACGTCGAAACAATTTGTTTTAGTGACTAGAAATTACTATTTCTTTAATCCCATTTGTCCCCAATGGTGAGATGGGGTAAACACGTGGGGTGCGGTCCCCACACGGAACACCTCTGTGTGATTCACAAATTAGGTATTGTTCCGGGGTCGGGTGTTGCTTTTAGCACCCCGAGCGAGTATCAGGACTTCATAACTCTTTTTATTTTCTTTTATATAAACGTTGCCCCACACTAGGATTATCTCCTGTGTCGTGCGTGCGTTTACAAACATACATACAAGTTCACATACACATGACACCTAGACCCGAAACAACAATTTGTGGATCACATAAAGTGTTGTTCCGTGCAGGAATCGAACCCGCGACACGTTGCACGGCAGCCGGTTGCTCAGCCACCGCACCAACCGTGCAGTCAAAAACTCTGTAAGAAGTGTATATATTAAAGTGGGTAATATAGGCATATAGAGTTTCAATGGGGCTGTTGTTACTGCTGTTGTTGCTACTGCTTACCAGATACCAGATGGGGATTTTTAAGGGGGGAAAATCACCGAATGTCTTTTCCCACGTAGGTGAGGCGAGAGGGAGTGTCAGAATCTTATTTACTAAAAACCACCCTGATCCTGCTTCTGCACTTTGAGCCGAAGCCCCAGTAACCTTTTACGTGCTCTGCGACGGAGATAGTCTTGCGAACCCCGACGCCCGGAGTGTCCGTAGCATGACTGCTTTGCAAAAGGAGGAGACGGTATCCCGGTCCTCCGCGCTACGCATCATGCCCCGAACTAGGACAGCCACGCAGGAGAGGTCGCCGTCGCCGATCACATCCCTGAGGACACGGTGATGCTCAGCCTATGCAGGGCATGCTGCCAACGTATGCACCACTTTGTCCTTAGGATGGTCCTTGATGACACCCGGGCGTTTCCTCCCGCCCTATCAGATCACATAGCTACCTCCCTCCCTCCGGTAAGCAACTGCGTCAGGTGGTAAGCCGGCCGTAGCGTCTCTCAAGCCACTCCTCAAAGAGGGGACTTACCGACTTACTTAAAAAAAAGATGTCTTTGCTGCCATTCTGCCATGAGATCGCGCCGGAGCTCATCCCGCCACGCTCTAATCTGGCGACCAGAAGGCGATAGTGTGGGCCTTTCCTCTTTTCGGCCAAGAATCAGCTAGTAGCACACCATTGGATGTTTAAAATTTCACAACTACAGTGATTGGATAAACATTCCACTTGCTAGAAATGTAGCTTCATTATAGTAAAAAGATCTCAATTACTTCAGGTGTTTGAAATCAATCTACTAGCTTCGACCACGATTGAAACCTTAAACAATTAGCTTATTATGAAAATTGCGAAAAGTTGCGTGAACATCCATCGTAGTGTCGTTAAGTCTATATCAAAACACCAAGCAGTATTTCAAATTAAGATTCTTATTAGATTAATTAGCAAATCCCACTAAGCGTATATCCTATGTAGCCTATATCGTGTAATGTAGAGGTCATTAATCGTTTCGGGTCAAGGACGGGCTCATTGAATAGTAGCTGCGCTCCCCGTTAGTATTCGCATTAAAAGGTCAGCGTGTCTGCGCTATTGGGTACCGCACCTAAAAGTGTCCGCATAATTAACATTTCCGTAGGGCGGGTAACTGCCACGATAAAGCGATAATATTATATACATATTTATGGTAGTAAAACATGCTGTATTCGCGAGATGTATGATATCACAATAATGAGTTGTTGATAAACAATGACATAGCCACTGGTGTACAATGGGTCACTCAGCAATATGGATGACTCAACTTATAACCAAATGTATGTAGAGGAAGCATCCTCTAAAAGTAGTTAACATTTTTTTATTACAGTAAATCATTATATTCCAGTAATGAACATCGTCATGTTCATTACTGGAATATTATGATTTACTGTAGTAGTAAATCAGTGTGTAGTAGTAGTTAATATTAGTCGTCACTAATATTATTATACTTCTTATCTACTCTGAGTTAGGTACTCAATTCCTTCTTTTAGCAGCTTAATCGACCATATCACTTGTATGATTCATTCGTTTGTAATGCATGGATCGGTGACGAACTACCTCAGCATGGTAAACAATGCACAATGATTTCGAAACTAGTAGTTTTGACATCATTCTCCGCGGCCTTGAGAGCAAGAATTTTAAGTCTACGTCGCAATTCTTGAAACGAACCATCTAGAAATTTTAAATACACTAACAATTTGGATCAAAGTTAAGTAATTCTCACTTATTTATGTGACCCACATGCTCCTATACCGTAAACATATTTATGTCAGTAAATTGCACATTCATGAAAATTAAATTAGGAAAGAAATAAAAAAAGTAAGTATTTCGTTCGTATTTTTATATAATTAATATGAAAAATTGTTAAAAAAACTGTCTTTGATTAAGATTATAAAAAATGATGAATAATTTGTCATGACAAATTTTATTACAACTAAAAGTACTGCATTTTAGTCTAGAATGATCAATTATGCAATTACAGTGTAAAGAATGAATGTAAATAAATAATACTATATTTCATGGCAGTCTAGTCGAAGTAATGGCGTTTTGATTTGCATCGATCAAGACAAGTAATGGCAGAAAAGATCATTCCTATGAATGTATTAGGTACTTTCATTTATAATAATTAAAATACAAAATTAATTTACAAAAAAATCATTGTTACAAATCTCAAAAGAATACTTGACAAGCAAATTGTAAATAAAATTAATACTTTAAAATAATACAAGCCTTAATGAAGGATAAAAAATGTTACATATAGATATCTCATTCTGGAACTTTATAAAATTTGATTAATTGTATTATATATCTCTAATTATGATAATAGGCCACATTGCATTAGAAAACATAACTATACATCGCCACATAACATGATCCTCAACAAGTACTTCTTTGCATTATATACAATGACTATATCAAAGAAGTGATGATGCATTATAAATAACAGAACTTAATGAATAGTGCTTGCTTAGTGCTAATAGGGATTCATTTGAGCTGAAAAGCAAGTAAGTGTTCAGTCCATTATTCAGCTGCAGCAATCTGCTCGCTCTGGATGAGAGCCTCTGACGGGTTATCTTTCTTAGCTTCTACAGTCTCTGTTTGTTCAGTGGTATCCTTTTCTTCAGACTGCTCGCGCGAACTAGCAGTTCCATTCACTTCATCCTTTGCTGGAGAATTTTCTTTTGAAGCTTCTTTAGCTTCCACCACTGTTTCTTTTTCAGGAGACTGGGCCTTTGCCTCTGGTGTGCTTTCTTTTTCAACTGATTTCTGTCTTTCTGTTTCTTTTTCTGGAGACTTTTCTTTTGAATCACCCTGGGCACCCTCATCTTCTTCTTTGTCAGGAGAACCTTCTTTAGATGCTGCTTCACCTTCCTCTCTTGTAGGTGATGGCTCTTTAGTGGGACTTCCTTCTTTCTCTGGAGATTTTTCTTCTTCCTCAGCAGTCTCAGTTGTATCAACTGCATCAACTTTCCCTTCCGTGCTTTCTTCAGACTCTTTACTTTCTGCCTCGACATCCCCATTTACAGCTTTTTCCTACAACAGTAAACAAAATTGTCACAAACTTACATCCAGCAGCTTATAATAATTAACAATCTAATAATTACCTAAAATAACAAACTTACACAATAAAAAATAAGTTTACTATAGTAACAAGGAAAAATAAAACAATTAACATTGTCGTCTGTTACATTTATGTAGTTATCACAGTACAAATACATGGACAATTTTGCAGTATAACAATATTACAGTACCTGTTCATTTTCAACTTGAGGTGGTTCTTCAGGAGGGGCTTCCATCTTCAAGAATTGTTCCAAAGTGTCTACTTCATTAGCAAGGTCAAATTGGTCATAATCCTGAAACCAATAAAGAATACAAGAATATTGATTAATGTTTCTTTAGCTGAAATAAAGTACACTCATACTGAAGCAGAAAAACAGGTATGATCAGACAAACAATTTATAAACAAAGGCATAAACAGTAAACAAACATGTAACAAAGGAACAAAATACCAACAGATGGCAACATACCAAAAATACCAAAGCATTCCTGATACACGATTATATATCTAATTTACATGAAAAGATGGAACTCACCCCACAATACTCCTCATCGTTGAAGATCTGTGGCGGCAGCGGAGACCGCGGGTTGGGGTCACTTACTGTGCCACCGTTCGACTTCGAGTTGTTTTGCATAAACTCTTTATCAGATTCTTTCCCTGGTTCCGTTATGTCAATGACATCATATTTAATGTTTTTCGAATCTAGTATCATCAATACACGTTGTTGACGCTTCTTCACCTAAAAAGTATCATAACTCACGTAATCAAAAACAATAATTACATGAATCAGCCTAGAAAAAGTCGAGAAAAGCACCCGGCCGTCCCAGGAATTTTCTAATATTAAACGTACCTCCTTATTTCCAGAAATACCACTGATATATACTTTGACAACCATTGTGAAAAACTTTCGAATTAAACTTAAACAAAGGTAAATAACAATTGCTTTAAAATATTACACGAGAAAAATAGGCTTGGCCATTAGACAATCTGTTTTAGTAATAATAATTATTCAGTACGGATGACAGCTACAAATGTTGCCAACATTTGTAACATGAAAATCTACTCTTTCTTGTGTTTATAATGATTTTTTTTAACCCATTAATGCGTTTTAAATGTATAATAATTTATCGGAGGTAGGGTTATGCAGATATCACTCTTCTAGAATTTGAATACAGACTCTTGACACTGCTAAACGCACATTTCATTCAAGTTTGAGTTCGACTAATAAAGTTATTCTATTTTGCAATGTGGCTTAGCCGTAAGCTGCAGATGACTAATGACATTATAACAATTTGAAATCACATACCGACTTTCACTATATTTTTTTAATTACATTTGCTACTCCATAAAATCTACCAATGGAACATAAAATTTGAGTTATGGCAAGATCGGATTGCGTTTCGTTTTACGGTGCACCAGCAGTAAACATAATTTGAAATGCGCCAAGTTTGAAATATTATTTTGGTTTTAACATGAACTTGTGTGACGCGGCAGGAAAATTGTTGAGCATAAAATTATGATATAATTTATCTCTATTAACATTGTCTTTGTCTTAATTGGTTGTGTATAAGCAGCTATCACTTTTTTAAATTTTTGGAAGGTAAGGGAGAGCTAAATAAAGCAAAAAATAAACAATATTATTTTTAAATAAAATTTAATACGTTTGTTTATAATACATAGGCATATTGTCTTCGTATATAAAATAAAATATATATAATCGCAGCAAATTATTGTAATGCGACACATGGACAGGCGTGGAATGTTCGTAGGTACATAAAAGCTAATTTCATTAATAAATAATAAATAAAGTATATTAATCCTATAGCTCCATGAATGTCATAAAAGTAACGGTTTCTACGGACTTTTTCTTTCGGGACAGTGTAAAGAACGAAATTTATAGTTAATTTATAGTTAGTAAATCGTTAGTATGTCCTTATTTGTACAGGGTTTATTATAACAAAGTTGCGCGGCAATCCACTCAACAGCGAGTGAAATGCAGCCATATTAAAACTGTCTACCTATCAATATATAAGATCACGTGCATGTCATTGACTTGACTGCGGTCTAGCGAGACACTATTCAATCTATGAGCCATTACATAATTCTATTGTAAAAACATTACGAGTTACGAGACGTTGACACGGCGCTGTACGTGTGCATGCGTGACAACTACATAACAAATACTAGCAGACTCATTTAAACAATTAGTATAATGAAATAATTAGCGTACCTCTATCATTAATCTTTAAAAATTGACAAAAGTTCAATGGCATGGCCATACCAGTAAATAATGACAGTAAAACACATATTTATTTTAAAATATTCTAATTTTAATTGTTTATCTAGCTGTGTGTGGGCACGCACACAGTCGCGTGTTTATTGTGCGGAAATATTATTGGCATGTGTCCAGATCACTAGACAGTTGTCAGTTAGTCTTTACGCTCAGCGAGCCGTGCTGATATGTATTATAATTATACACGTATTAAATGTCGCAGCGGATTTTATACCCACGTAAAATAGCAGAGACAAAGACATTACTTGTTGCTTGAGTAAAACGCGATGAGTTTAACGTAATTAATTATTATTCTTTCATATTTCTCACTTGTCAATTAACATACACGAAAAAGCTTAATAGGAATGTACCAAACGGATACTGATGATTATTCAGTCGTCGCATTGATTTGAATTTCATTTATTTGCTCTAATCTTTATACATATTTCTTTATTTTAAATATATCAAAATATTAATATACAAATTAAATCTAAAACTATATGTACACAAAATGATACAAAAATAAACAAAACAACGAAAATAAACTGTAGTAAATCAGGCTCGCGAGCCGTACATGAGATTATTAAAATTATCTAAATACTTATTGTACAAACTTCTCTTCCAAATAGTACATAGATACTGTTATATACCGGAAGATGGATGATTCAAATTTTGGTACATGCACCAATAAATTGTTCCACATAGCATTAGCTAACGCATTCCGTTCGTCGTCGTAAATCAGATTGAACCTCATTTCAGTTTAGTTAGACATACGAGTAGACTATATTCGTTGGCAACATGACAGTGGTTAATGTCCGATTAGTTATTGTTTAGTGTATGTCAACGTGTGAGAGGATCACACATTAACGAGCTGTTAATCACATCATCCGTCAATATTTCGTTGGCAATAACAGTTTTGTGCATTTTTACATCAAATTATAATTTTTAACATATTAGCTAATTTATAAATATGAAATAAATAAGGGTATAATTTCCAATACGTCAAATTAACTTTGACCAGCAACCTAAAGTGGTAGTAGTTAAATTCTCAAACTCAATAATGGCAATGCTTGAACTCAATGGTAATGGTAATTCGCGATTAGAGATCCAAACATTTGGTTAGTGAACTTATCTCATGATCACTACCTTTATCGACACACAAAAGCGACCGAGCGCATCTATGCGCGTAAATCACTTCCTCAGTCGTAATATACGCGGAAAATAAAATAAGCACTCAAAATCAGACATCACTTCGGCGTAAAAGAAGAAATACTGTTACATCTAAATTCGATAGGCCATTACACGCACGCAGAGTGAGATCGAATAATACTAAGTACGTCGATCGACAGCTCCGTCGTGACCTAGCTCGCTGGACGTGGAGTCCGGGCCAGGTCACGGCGGGCCGTGTCTCGTGTTGAGCGTGGGGGCTGCGGGGGGTCTGCGTGGGCGCTGCGTGGGGGCTGCGGGCGAGCTCACACGGGGGTCCCAAAGTCGGGGTCCCCGTCCCCGGCCAGTAGCCGCGGCGGGAACTTGGCTCGCTCCACCTCACCGTTCGTTAGCGGCGCGCCCTCGGTCACCCTCCGCGCGGACCCTATCCTGTACGACAAGAATATTATCTTATAGCACACTCAAATGAAAACTTTTAAATTCCAGCTGAATATAGCAAAACGGGTGGTAAGAGGGTTTCTTTAAATCACTTAACTATAAAGTTAAAATAAATATCAGCATTTATTAATCCTCTTAAAATCCTCATACAGGACAAACTAACATTGGGATATTTATAAATTAATCGTCATCTGTTACGTAGCGCTAACCGCTGCAACTCTGTTTACGAACAAAATGTTGAGTTGGCAATGTCTATTACATTTGCATGATAATAATCTATCATAATTAATCATACATATAATGTATTTATATCCCACGGTACATAAATCGGTCCGACACTCGCGTACTACCTCCCATTAATCATGGAACGGTCGCATTTATGTGACACGGAGCGGTAGAACTCCGCGGTCACCAACCCGCATACTCACAACAACACTGATATGAATTAACTAACTGTTAAGCACTTTTAAATTGAATATTTTTGCAACACATCTTCTCCCTTGACTCCCATCACAGACAATTGAACGAAATTTCCTTATCATACCCAAAAAGATAGGAATCAGAATTACCTAATTAACTTTCAGATTTCTATAATTAAATCATTACATCAATGACTTAGAACTTTATCAGTTTCTGCTCGAATGAAAGCCAAAGCGAAACTGTATGTTAGTAACGAGAAACTAGCATTTAACGTTCATGTAATGACATATCAAAATTGCTTTTACGTGGATTACGTAGTACATAATACACAGAGAAATATCCATTTGTTATGTTACCTAAATCCTTTAGATTCTCTTCTGAGGGGTTTGATATCGCCGTTTGGTTTGCTAGGCTTGGTGTCTTTGGGTTCAATGTCGATGAGTGGCTGCACTATCTGCGGCGGTGGAACTGGTGCTATGGGAGACTCTGGTACTGGACACAACAAACATTTCAACAAATTATAATTTTATCCATATTTCTTACAAACTTAGCTACAAGCTAACATTGTAATTGTATGTAGAGGTGCAAACTTTAAAGAGAACATCACTTTATGGTACAAGTTCTATAAAGGGAGAAGTTATTCCCATGTTTAATTTCAGCAGGTTGACAGCCACGCTTGCGAGCTCTTGGCTATGCCTCACCTTAGCCGTGCACGGCCGAGGATCATAACACCGTGCGGTGCAACAAGTAATCTTCAATAAGACCATAACATTTTTATTTAACTTACCAACAATGTTTACTAAGTGCTACAAACAAAGCAAAAATAATAAACATTTAATTTCACTACTTCGGGCTTAATATGAAACTTTTCATGGAAAATTATTGACATACCTCCATCGGAGACTGGCAGGTTATCGCAGGGTGCTTCCGTTAGAGGTTCGTCTGAGGAGGGTGCCTCTAGCTCCACGGGTCTATACGCACCCTTAGTACGCCAGTCCTATAACAACGTAAAACATTCAGTCTGTGCAATCATTGCCCACTATTTCAACGATAAATGTGGTTATCAAAATAATTTACAGCTTTGGCTAATTAGAATGGGAGGTATTTATTAAAACTAATGATAATATGTGCATTACAGCGCAATATCTAACAGCATCACTGGCTACGCTCCAGCCGACTCTACTCGTACTCTAGCCAAGGTCTCCCGACTACCCGACATAATCCACATGACTACTTCACTTGATACATACCAACGCGTGGAAGGTTTCTATACTGCGCTCTGTCTAGAAGAAATTAAACGTAAACAGAATCATAATATTATGTACTTGTTGCTAATAAAATAATTATTATCAAACTTGGATACCAAGTCACCCTTTTTACCTCATCGAGACGCAGATGAGCGTAGCGGTTATAAGTGCCTACTTATAATAATTTACAGTCGTTTTTGGTTTTGGGTTATAAAAGGGGAGCAAAGAAGATAATGAGTTACTAGACGAGTGTACCTGGGGCTTGCGTTTCTTCTTGAGTGCATTGGGTCGCGCGTGCACCGGCGTGGACGCGGCCGACTCCGCGGACGACGTCGCGCGCCCCGCTCCGACCAGCGCGCGCCCCGTCCCGACCACTGCGCGCCCCGTCCCGACCAGTGTGCGTCCTGCCCCGACCACTGCGCCCTCCGCGCCCGACCACTGCCAACACACGCGCTCTTACTATATTTCCTACCAGCGCAACCACTGCGCTCAGTAACAAATGGGGATGACCACTTTTTTTGTGAAATTGAACATATATTTGGTTTTTTACAAACACAACGTCATCACCCCTATTAACCACATAGCAAAAGTAGCAATACTCAGTAATATCTGCGGACTAAAACAACGATAACATTCACTGAATATTTATATAGACGTTTTTTAGATATTCTTTACTCATCTAGTTACCGAAATTCTTCTCAGCTGGTAAATAAAACACACGTACCTCAAGCCTGGCCTCGATCTTGATGGAGTCGTCGTCCATGTCGAGTATGTTGAGGTTGTTGTTGATGTTGTTGTAGTCGGGGTAGTTGGCGGGCGGGGGCGGGGCGGCGCGGTACGGCTCCGACTCGCACTCGCTGCCCGAGCCCGCGTCTGAGGTGCGTCTACACAAACAATTGGCAGTTTTAGATAAGGGGGCTTACTCTTGAATCCAATTCCGATCTATCGACATTGGTATTGTGAACTTTCGTACTCTTGAGTTACAACACTAGCGCCCATTGCATCCGTATTGCGTTGATATTGAATGAACTAAATGGTATTGAAATTGGCTTTATATTCCGTACTCTGAATACTATTTTAACAGCTACGATAGGGATTGTATAGAGTTGACATTGAATAATTATTGAGATTTTATTGGATTGAAATTGCATTGACATTGAGATTGGTTTCAAGAGTAAGCACCAAGATGTTCCGATTTGATTGATTTCTTAATTTAAACTCACAACTAAAAGATAAAATAGTTAAAAATCTTTTAATAACCACGATTAACATAAATCACCTACTCAACATCTGTCCAATATTTAAATAATGCTTATCCCTGACGTCATACATAGCTGTGAATGGCGTTACGTGTTAGAAAAGCTCATGTTGTGTTGATTTCGTATCGACGCAATTGTCATGAAGAAAAGTCAAAGTTGTTACCGTGCCAAAAATACGGCTGACAACTGCTCAACATACCTACTAAATAATTATAATCAGTCGGACTTGGGACCAAAACGAATTTTACGATTCTGTATTTTAGACGTTCAAGTACAGCTTCTAGTTGGCTCAGCTAAATATTATGTTGATTTAATTCCTGAATTAAGTATGTGTTTTATTTTTGTACTGCACACCACACTAATATTTTCTCCAGTGTAGTAGTTGCATTCCCTAAATAAACAGTTTGAACGCTTTTGGCTAAAGACTATATTCGCTGACACTACGGAAACTTCAAAGATAAACATTATGTAAATACATAGTAAACTTGTCACAAAATTATTATGCCATAAATATAATTATGAACGCTTGCTAATGTGTTCCGCCATCTATTTGTGGGGAAATATGAACATTCATTCACCATTTCACTGTATCCTAATTTGTTTTATTTGTTCGCTATTTCCCTTCCACAGAGGAACATCACATCATAAGTTTCATACACAAAGCTTTTTTACTGTTTATCTTACCCAGAGTACCTATTTGCTAATGTCAAGACATAGGCCAATCATCGGCAAAGTGTCATCGATTCATGGTAGATGTCCCATCCACATGCACTAAGCGCTTCGCATCAAGCTTCCTTGTGCGTACTGTTAAGGAGTGGAATTCTTTGCCAGAGTCTGTATTTCCTGAAGGGTATAACCTGGGTGTCTTCAAGGCCCTAGTGAATAGGTCGCTTATGAGACGACGTGCTCCACCGTAGGCCGCATCATCGCTTACCATCAGGCGACATTTTTATTAAGGGGGGACAATCATCGAATGACTTCTCCCACCTGGGTGAGGCGGGAAGGGAAGCGTCAGACTCTTACTGACTAAAATCCACCCAGATCCTACTCCTGCGCTTCGAGCCGGAGCCCCGGTAACCCGTTAAGTTCTCCGCGGCACCACCAGGCGAGACAGTGGTCAAACGTCGGCCCACCAAATATTAAAAAAAAAACAACTTGTGACAACTAGGCAGATTGGACTAATAGGACCTTACACCTCACTCTCGCCATTTCACTGATCACTTTAGTGTTGATTTAATGAAGAAATGAACAGTATACCAGGAGTGAGGTTTACGGCATTTATACGAGCACAGTACAATTTACACTAAATTTTCAGCAAGTCAACATGACTTTAATTAATGTCACACACGTCAATCACATTTATTAATTTCTGAAAAATGAAATCAAAGACGTAACTGTTTGCGACAATTAAGTTGATAGGTTCGTGTAATACTTGGCAGCATTCGAGGGTCCATTTACTACTAATTAATTGTCAAAATCAAACCAGAGATTGTTTTTTTACACCCATCTACCCAATTTCAGACGCAGTCTTAGTAAGAATGTAAAAAGACTCCTAGTAATTATAATCTGTCTCACCCAACAAGAGTCTCTCACTGACTAAAAACTACCCTGCAGCTGTAGCCAAATGCCATTTAGCGCTTGTCTACTTGTAGAATAGAAAACCAAATTATATGGAATTGACGTAAATTTTGTCACGTTTGTCAGTGCCATCCCCATACATTTAGTTTTCTATTCTCTCGGTAGACAAGCGCTAAAGTGGCGTGGCTAAAGGCACTGGTACTGTTAGGCCTCGAGACAGAGTCTCGGTATTTGAGTTCCGCGACCCCAGCAGCCGGTTGTCAAGTATTTTTTTTTTTAAGGGGGGGAAAAATCATCGAGTGGCTGCTCCCGCCTGGGTGAGGCGGAAGGGAGTGTCAGACTCTTACTGACTAAAAACCACCCCGTTCCTTCTCATGCACGTCGAGCCGGAGCCCTGGTTACCCGTTAGGTTCTCCGCGACTGGTTGTCAAGTATAGGTGTGTAACGCCCGAATACTGAAATGCTACTCAAATTTAGGTTGTACTTAATTATCGAGCTATCTCAGTCATTTTGTAAAGAACTTAAAACAAAACTATTCTTAAGAGCATCTTAAAATTTAATGGCGTTAGAGTACTACCGCTACTGACCTGTTATAGTCAGGAGTGCGCGGTGCAGTGGGCGTGGCGCCCGAGCCGTCCTGCTCCCCACCGAACACCTCGCCGTCCTCCGGGTACAGGGGGAACCTGTCCGCAATACATTACAATGACGTCACAAGAGTGCCAAGCACGAATAATTATCGCATTTGTATCGTAACAGTATCGAGCGAGTTCGGTGTTTTAATTGGTTGGTTCACTGGAGCCGGCCAATCAGAGCGTCGAATGCGCTCGATTCTATTACGTTACGAATGCGATGGGTATTCGTGCTAGGCACACTGTATTTATAAATATAGAAGTAGTCTCTAAAACTTGAGAACGGCTGATGTTAGTTTTGAAATATTTGTGTTAGTCCTTAAAGGTAAGAAAATATAGCTAAAACATATCCCGATCCCCAGCACTTGGGTAATGAGTAATTGAGTATACACCATTTTTCAGTGGCGGTCGAGGGGGGTAGACGATTTTGTTAATGAGACGAAACTAAGTTTTTGCTTTAGTATATTGAAGTTATTAATTATTATATCTACCTAAATCTGACTAAAACCGTTATCCACAGCCATATACATTAGACTTCTAGTAGAGTTACTTATAGAATTTGCCAGTTTACCTATAATTGTCCTCAGACAGTCTATCGTCATCGTCGGTGGCGATGAACTGCACGCAGAGCGCGCAGTCTCCCTTCACACTCTGCAGCGCCTGCACGGCTTCTTTGTGACACGCCTGGAAGTAATAAAAACGTTAAACACTTATTCAAAACACAATAAATACATAATTAGGTCTACTATACTCGATTTCATTTAGAAAGAGATCTGTAACTTCTGGCATTTAACTTTACTAGTATTGAAATCGATATTTCATACGATTACGAATAGAATATCGATATATTATACATAAAAATTTATATATTTTAACCCGATTTAATATCCACTACCCCTCTAGTAACGTCAAAAGTCAATAGTCACAGCAGCCTTCCCAAATGAAATCGAGTATAGGTCATTACCATTTAATAGTGCATATGTAGAACTTTGAACAGAGTTGTTAATTTGGGCGTTTCTATATTGTTAGGAGTCCGATTAGCAATATTTAAGGACTTGTAGGGGCGGGTACCATGCTGAAATTCGAAAGATGCTTGTAAACTGCTAGATAATTATATATATGGAGGTTAACTCACTGTAGATATTTTACGGTAAGTCTTTAACATGAGTAGACAGATTTCGCTACTATAGATAAAATGTCTAAACCAACAATGTGCTAAAATGCATCCAAATCAACCAATAACAATAATCCACAAATACGTTACTCTAAATGGTACTATGTCTGAATATACATTGAGAATAGCCTGCTTCTCAAATTATATATAGAATGAAAGTTTTCTTCGGTAGTGACACCTAATTATAAGCAGAGACACGGTACAATAAGTGAAGTTGGGTAATGAGACTATAGCATGTACTAAAGTTTTACAAATTACCTGTGTGAGGTCGACATCGTTGATGGCGAGTATGGCGTCCCCAACATAGAGTTCCCCCGTCAGTGCGGCCGGCCCGCCTGCCTCTAGCTCGGAGATTAGGATCGGCACACCATGTTCACGACCACCCTGTAGTGATTGATAGCAATGTTTCGTGTTATTGTGTTGCACTTTTTATTTGACAACCTTAGCAAGGCGGATTTAAACAGACCAGAACCTGCGACCTCCCTTGCCAAGTTTGAAGCGTGGAGATTATTGAAAACCCCTCTTATGGAGAAAAGGCATATAATTCAGCAGGGCTACATAAATAATTTCGAGAGAAATTTACCTTGAGCATTGCAGTACCTTATATGAGAATAGAAGTACATAATAAGATATTTTATTGTATAGAAACATAATTTAGTAAAGCGACACATTTAAAGTATACGAACAGTGACGGAGATGCCGAGGCCGAGGTGTGGCGAGCGCCTGACGCGCACCGTCCGCGCGAGCGGGCGCGCCGCCGGCGCCGCGCCGGCCGGCCGCCCGCACGCCCGCGCCGCGCCCGCGCCGCGACACACGCGCACCAACGTCTTGTGGCGCTGCACCAGGATCTCTGCCTCCACCTGCACACAATATACAATTACAGCTTTACTTAATACAAGATACGGTTTTTTTAAGCATCTTTTATTGCACGAGGACGCAATGTTACGAGTCCCGAATAATAAGCAAGCCTATCTATTATCCAAGACGATAATCTTATTTACATCAGACTCATTGCTCCATAATTGGCCATTGTCTGACGCGAGAATACAACCTCTCGGCGGTCTTATTCAATCAATCATTAAAAAAGATACCAGTGCTGAGCAAACATTATTTTAGCGAAATATAAAACATAAGCACCTACTCGGTTTCACTAAGGTGTCAGTCAAGGACAATATCGGCATTAAAGACTTTTTATACTTTATGAAGCAAACTTTCTTTTTGTTGGAAACAATAAACTTAAATCCAAAAAATAACTGTTATTCATTGTACTGCCTACCCACTGATAGTTTAGAAGTCGGTGCCCCAAGTCCTAAACATTAATAAGTCAGACCAGAAATGTTTAAGTAATCGATGTACAGAAGACGAAGTATCGTGAAAATGACATGGTTCAAATACTTATATAGTTCATAAAATAAAAACTACTGAAATAAACAAATTGTTATGGGAAAAAATTTCAGATATTCCGTGTTGAACACGAAAAGGATAACTCAAATCGGTTAATAAACCTTGACGTAATCGGTGGATATACATAGAAAAAAAAGCAACAAAAAGCGAATTGAGAACCTCCTCCATTTTTTGGAAGTCGTTTAAAGAAGGGAATACAGGTGTTCATATCAATGATACCTAATTTCAATAAAGAAATACATAGACCTACACTAGGAGTTCCTTCTACTTTGAGTTTCCAATGCTGTCTCTTATTTATTTCAGCTATGATCATCAAATCAATGGCAAATGGCAAAGGCAGATTATTTTAAAATACAAGTTTTAATAGAATACTTGTTTGGCATTCTCTCATTCCAAGAAAGCGACGTCTTGACGAGATAGTTTGTATGAAAATGTCAGAGGCCAGACTCGGTCGGAGAGTGACAAGATTACTTTTCACTTCAACAATATACTGGATAAACAGTCACTAGTTTCATCTCAGTCAACAAAACCGCAGATTTAATTGAGCAGCTGTATAAGCTAACTTAGGAATCAATAATGAATTCTAATTAAAATTTTATGCGTTCCACAAATGAATGCTTTTCAGAAATTTATCGAAGAGAAAGTAACAGCAGAGTATTATTAAGTCCCAGTATTTTATGAATCTTATTTTCTGCAGAAAACGAAGATAGTTTAACGACGGTTGTTAAATCAAAGAAATGATTACATTGTGACAGAACCGCTTCAATTTAGAGTTTTATATTCTTCCGACGGAATATTTCTAGCTGACATAAAAACTCAGATTTAATCTTCATTACCACAACCACAACTGATTGCGTCAATGACGGTACTACGAATTGGGGCATATACAATACATTCGTAATAATGTCATTCGTGGTAAAGCCATGGTTTTCAGCACGAGTGAGCCAGGTCGACCGAAATTAAACTACAGCCTCACAGAAAACTGATGTGAGAAACGCTGGCGTTGTAATTCATCATGTGAGTAAGATTACCGGAGTACTAATCAACCCAAAAAGTCGCACTTGTCATTTCTTTGATGTTATATTGTGTTCATGGGCGACGCCGGTTGCCGATACCATCAAGTGATCTGTGTGTTTGTTTGCGCCCTGATCTCATAAAAATCTCGTATCAGAAAAAGTAGGTAGATGGGTACATAGATTACATAGTTGTTTATATGTACATACCTGAGCCCACAGAGAATCTCGTAGTTCAGCGCGCATATCCCTGCCGAGTAGCTGCAACTGTTGTATCCTACCCGCTAGTTCCTTGTCCAAGTACTTTGTGGCCAGTCTGAAAAGTAACAGAAATATAATGATAAAATACATATTTAAGCAAAAGGTCTGAATATTGGGCAGGCAAAAAAAATTGCACAGTTAAAAAGAGGGCACTGTGGCGAGCTTGTCCCATTAAAAAAATTGCTTTATGACAGTTTACAGGTTAGGCATTCTTGATTTTATTAAATTTTTCATACAATATACGTATAATGACATGCCTTACCTAGCTCCGAAGAGTTCGGAATGTAATGCAAGCACAGTTTCCCTTAGCGCCGCGTTTTCCCGCGCTAGTTGTGCAGCCTCGGAACGCGCTCGTGCCGCGTCCGTCACGTTCCCTGCGGCGTCACCGCTTTCCTGGCATCCACCTGAACATCCAGATGCTGTTTTGAACTTTATCAACTTCAATCAGAATCAACAAACGAAAGAATAAACACAATTAGAGAATTACGGAATTACGTAATTAATTGACGATTGAATTTGACTATTTTTAAGCCATGCTAAAGGCTCATATTCGTAGTAGCAGCGCGACAGTCGCTGCGCACCGGGTTGCGGAATGCTGCTCATGAATATGAGCCTCTGGCATGGCTTGAAACTAGTAGAGTTCCTCGTCAAATAATTGCATGAGTAAGCCGAAAACATAATAATTAATTCAGTATGTCTCTCGAAAGTTATAATACAAAGAATTAGGGAATATTATAATTATAGGCCCAGAAAATAAGTTGTTTATTACAATAGATAATTGTATATATGTGTGTGAAAAATTGAAAACTAATATGCGTGTATTACAAAAGGTTTTCATATAAAATAGGTAAATAATGAACATAAAAAAATGCTATTTATACTTTATAGCTCCGAGTTGAATTAAGCTTTGACAGAAATAATTAAGCACAAGCACGAATTGGTCATATTTCCTCATTCGGCCTCATCAAAGGTATTGTAAACACTCAAGTAAACAGCGGAATCGGCACCGATTCTAGGGTCAGCATGATATATCTAAGCAATCAGCGAATCTCAGTTGATACATAACTGTCATACATTGCCATTCTGTCGAAAGAGACACAATCAGATTCAAACAGATTTCCAATCCAACGAATTAATTTCCAATAGAACAAAACTCACCTGCTGAAGCGGCTCTTGCTTGCACCAATTCGGCCCTCATGTCGACGAGTTCAGCCTGCAAACAGAAAAAAAAATCCTTAATCCCTGGTGATTAAATCTCCCGAACAAATGGACGGCATCGTATATCAACAATAAGTAGTGTCGAATGTCATGGAAGTGATTCAGCACAATAGAATTTAATCTCTAGCCGAAATCAATGGCGGCGTAAATCCGAATTAGAGGAACGCCGCAACGGTTGTGTCGTCTAGCACTCGACACAGACACGGGCACATTAATCGTTTGACTTCTGCACCCTCGTGCAGCTAACTGTCGGGGGACGGCTGGCGCGTGTCGCGCCCACAGCCTATGAGCCTACCCTCATCCACATTTTACATGTGTCATCTCCCTGCCAATTCCGTGATGATTTATTTTATTACTTCTGTTGAACTATTTAAGAATATAGGTCGTTGTGCAATTTATGATCTTACTCATATTTCAAAGAATGCTTCTCAATTTATTTCGTAATAATTAAATTGACCACGGTTCTCAATCTAAGTCTAGTAGGTACTTGCAAAGGTGTCGATCAAATAAATATAGTAGCCGGTAAGCCAGATATGCTAAGTAGTTAGCGATAAAATAAAAACTAAACGTGGGATTATAAATGGTGCTTGATTATACCTGGGCTGTCGTTTAACAAGGCCTTACAAGGAAATATCTGTTTAACTACATCATTTTATGCAAATGCTCTATTCAATTGCATCTACACAAATAATTCAAGTTAATTTTAGAGGTAAATTGAATCGTGGAATGCAGTAAATGACTTGAACAAAAATTTCTCACTGTTTCTCGTTGGCTACATGCCTGGTTTTATGGCTTTAGTTTCATCTCCAGTTATGTATTAATTAAAACAGTCATATTTCCCCGGAAATATATGTTTCTAGTTACTATTTCAGTGCTGGATAATGAAGATATATCTCGAGAGGATGTTACGACTAGACAGCGAGTAATGTAAATGCTTGGCCATAAACATAAAGTCTTCTAAATTATTTATAAATATTGTGTCCATGAAAGTAGGGGCCATTCAAATGGCCAGTACTAAATGCCCCCACTTTTGTCTTTGTCTAGGTTCAGACCTAGACAAAGACTAGATTAAGGTAGACCTACATCGATTACTATTTGGGGAGCATGAGTATTCTAATATTCTAAGACTGCCTCGTTGGCCGAGTGGTCGCAATTGCGAGGCAAGGGGTCTCGGGTTCGATTCCTGGGTCGGGCAAAGTATTACTGGGCTTTTTCAAAAAATCTCAGTAGTAGCACGGAGTCTGGAATTGTGCCCGGTATATGGCAATAGCATAGAACATATATACATAGATACATATAGAACATATATATTTATACTGTGGCAATAGGCTCACCCCCTATTACATGGGACCCATAACATAAATAGTGAAAAGTGGGTGTTACATTGTACAGTGGCATTAAGTGCCGTAATGTACACCTCTGCCTACCCTTTCGGGGATAAAAGGCGTGATGTTATGTTAATATTCTAATATTGATAAATCTTAACTGGGGAGCAGTAAGTGATGCAATTATCGCCTCACCTTCGTAATTCTGTTTCAAAATACCAAGTACTAGTGCAGGAATAACAAAGTTACTAACTATAAGTTGTGAAACTTACATTTTCAATTGAATAACCTTATGGGAGATGTTATACAAAAGATAATCACGCAATACTTTTATTGTGCCTCCAATAAAATCAACTTATGAATATTATGATTTTGGCCCTCAATAAATACTGTTAATTCACAAGTTAATGATGGAGCAGCCAATTTGGACGGTATGGTTAATTTAAATAACGTCAATTGTAAAGCCTGAACCTTGATTTATTATCATGTCATTACTTAAAGGGTACTATTACACGAACGGGAAGCCTCTTATATAATAATAGCAATAGCAGTCATTAACTGAAGATAGATAATCAACAACGGGATTTACGATTTATGATTGATAATGCAATTACATACCAATGAAGGAGTTTTAATGAATTACTTAACAAATTATTTGTAGAAACAGTATAAAAACAATAAGAATTGAAGTATTTAAGTTTATTAAAAGAATACTAATTTTTACCCAACCGATACCAATTTTTTCTTTACTATATAATGGAAGAAAAAGTTCTAGTCGAGATTAAAGACACAAAGTAGTAACTATGAAATAATTGTGCCACAAGTAGTGATATATATTGTAATAATTTGTTGAAATAATGCACGAATTACCATTGTTTAGCCTAAAGCTATTACGACTATTATTTATATCAGAATAGTAAATCTGTGATATAACAAGCGATAGGTGCTGTCAACTGTCAATACCAGATAGTTTACTTAGATGTAGTGAAACCGGTATAGCAAACAATTCTGTGAACAATACTATGGTTCCAGTAACAATATTGAATGTTACCTATTTCTATATACACAGACTTAATTACAACTATAAACTCTAGGCTTAACCTTTGCAAAACTATTATTTTGTAACACGTTTGTCACAACGCGAACGTTTCTTAGTACGGGACTTGGTATTCGCACTTTTACGTGTCCTATCGTTGGTTTCTCACGGAGACTTTCAGCGCCACACCCTTTGCAATTATCCTTGGCACACAAAGATATTGTTACATAAGTTATTTTGTATTATATACTTCTATGGAAATACATAAATAATTTAAATGAATAGCGACATTAAGGAACAAGCTGGATAAATGCACAAAGTAGCATCAAGCATGCAAGCTTGCATTCTCAATATTTAACCAACATTGTTTGGGATGAGCCTGACTTGTACCATACCACACCAATAAACACGACCTACGCTGATTTCAAGATCATTACCGCCTGAACCTAAGAGTGGGCGTTTGTTGTTGTTGTTACTGTGATTGTGAATATTATAACAACGATGAGAATTCTAACGTCTTTAACACGTCACAATATTAGACACAGCATAAAAACCATTATAATAAATGAACAGTTAAGTTGTATAGATAGACAATGAATACGATTCATTAGGGCCGCAATAAAACGCGAGTATCTTAGGACGGATGGCCCTCGGCAATTTAAATATCAAGTTCGACGACAACGTGCCCGACTACTTTCATCTCTTCCCTAATTAAGTTGCACGTTATTGCGATATGTCTGGGCCACGGCAATAAAGCGGCTTTAGCGGTCAAAGTTGCGAGCTGCATGCTGGATAGTACAGCATGGTACAGTAGAAGAAAAGCGATTCACGCTGTGTTTGACTAGACTCTCTGCTTTACGCTGTGTGGGCGCCGATCTAAGATAACGACTAACAAACGGAAGATTGATTCACCGCTGTTTGATATCAATGCACGCATCTCAGATACACGAAAGATTTGACCGCAGTGCGCACGCGCCGCGCCGGCTGCACTGCGCTCGCGCTCGCCAGTCAAACTACACATAGATCTGACGATTCATGCTAAGCAACAACAATAAATCTCCCAATCTGTGTGTCGACACATTTACACGTCTTCCGAGATGAAATCTGAGTCTCATGAATAACAGCACATGCCATCGCATTTTACTGGTAAGAATTCACATGAAAGCTCTCGCGTCTTGTCTGACATGTTTAGGAGACCACACTAGTTGATATATAATTGAATTAACCTCGCAATGCGATCATGTTTTGCTCTAGAACCTTCATAGGCAGATGTTTAAATTGAATTCGCTCAAATTGTTAGTAATTATTTGACTGCACGGTTGGCGCGGTAGTTGGGTAACTTACTGCCGCACAATGTGTCGCGAGTTCGATTCCCGCACGGAACAACTCTTTGTGTGATCCACAGATTGTTGTTCCGGGTCTGGGTGTCATGTGTATGTGAACTTGTATGTTTAGAAAACGACAACGACCCACGACACAGGAGAAAAACCTAGTGTGAGGCAACGTTCTAAAAAAAAATTAAACACCAAGATATTTTCAGAAGAAGTAAATTTTCGCAAACCATTTGTTCTCATTGTAAAATGATTGGGATTCCAGAAAAACTCCCATTACAGTTGGATGTGACTCAATATTATTTCCTAATACGAACTAATAAACTATTTAGACACATCCATATATCTAGCTCTTTCGTGTACTCAAATCCGCTTAACTGAAAGCGCACTGATATGGAAATAAATTTGAAACTTAGCCTTAAGCTCGTTTAAACCTTACTATGGCTCTTTCCTGTATGTCTACATGAGGTCATTGTTTCGTCTGCCCTGAGCGCCCTACATGCATTGTTTATGTCTCTGACAAATACTTGCACCGTGTGCAACTCTTCATTTACATGCGTCCCGTTCGTACTTGCAGTCGCATCACGACGGGGACACAACTGCCTCCAACATTTCACTCATTGCCAGTCATTATGGAAATTATTTCACCTTCACAACGGTTCGATTGTAAAATACGCTCAGAATTGATAAACACCGTTTTCTGGTAAGAAAGCACTCATGTTCTTGTCGATGTAATATTTTTATGTGGGTTAGCAAATGAAATGCATAGTTCACAGCGAACAAGATCACCAGATAGCGGTACGCACGCCTACGTTGTAATGATACTTGATGCTTGAGCAACTGATCTCCAAACTTAGGTACATTAGAATTAGAATCTACATCCGTAATGCAGCAATGGGTGCATTACCATAAAATTTATTTTGAATTGATCGCATGCACCAATCGATTAGAAGGATTTATGAATGATACCATACAAGACATTAGATCAACCAGATGTACCAGCACTCGAACAATGGTGAGAGTGCGAGGTGCAAAGGTGATGGATCGCCACCTAGGAAATGGATGTTATCAAGCGAGCAGCTAGAGTAGTGGATGAGAACGCGCCGGGGAGCTCGTTTCAACCATTTGTCCTATCTACACCAAAGACTTATTGCCGCTTTTCACCTCGACTTATTGACAGTATCCACTATTCAACGGCAAACACAGAAAAAAATTAAATACGAAGTTTATATCCACCAAAAAATAAAAAATTGAAAAAGTGAAACCAATTAGTGAATAACTATGTAAATAATGCTGGGAAACCGT